CACCTCATCCCAACGGCATACGACGAACGCTCTGCTCTCTTCCTCAACAAACTCACGTAATATTTCTCTGGATACCTGGACACGCAAATATTCATGGAAACAGTACTGCTGACGAAGAAGCAAAACGAAGTCTCATGCTTCCGGAACGTAACCATCTTCATTGTCCCGTTTCTGATATTCTAGCAGTTATCAATTTACAGTTCCGTCTCTTTCTCCAATCTGCATGGTATCAACGCCCTCATCACCACCTTCACCCAATCGCACCCACACTTCAGCACTGGCCGACAATTAATCATGATAATCGCCTGAAGGAAGTGCTGATTGCCGGACTGCGTATCGGTCACACCAAGGTCACACGCTGCCACCGTTTTCGAACGCACTCTTCCTCCGCTGTGTCATCGCTGCGGCATCCCTTTCACAAGAAATCACTTCCTCCTCGTGTGTCCGGTATATCAACGATCAAGGCAGCCGCTCATCAATTACACCAACACTAATTGGCTTCCATTCAACCTCCGTTCTCTCCTCGATGATTCTTATCCTGATTTGATCGTTCTCCACTTTGAAATTTTACCCAGTACAGGGTTAGATATTTTCATTTAAATAAAGGGTTTTCCTGCATAATTTGGCAAAGATTGCAGGCTTCTCCCTATTGGCTAGGAGTCCTGGTTTTTCTTAGTTAGGACTTTCCAGGACTCAATAACATCACACAACACCACAAGGTCGTGCCGGGCAGCGGAGCCCGGGACTGATCTCCCCGTTGCTGCGATGAAGCGCTCCGCCATTCATCCACCACACAGGTCGCCGACAAGTCAGCTGAGCCAAGGCCATCGCTGACACGGACATCCCACACAGGACTCGCGTCATCCCAGGAATAAGGTGGGGGGGACGGTGAGGAGGCTCACTTGTCGTTCAAACGTACTGAATGCCCGTTGTGTCGTCATGAAATAAGTATATATGTTGCTGCGGTCTGATCTACTTGCTATGATCTCGCTACACAAAAATGAGCCAGGTTAACGTAACGTCCCTTATAAATACCCTCTCCCTTGCTTTGCGCCGGACAGCATAAGCCGGTTTAACGTAATCGTTGCCTGGCCTTATGCCGGAAATAAATCCCCCTTCCCCCCTCGGAGGTGATTAGGTCCGTCGCGAGAAAAAAGAGGTCTTGCACTGGGCCATAAAAAACGACCTCGGATCCCACACCAGCCAGCTGGCGACGAACGGTTGTCCACCCCCCCCCCCCCCCCTCCTCCAACAAAAACCTCCAGGCTGGATCCGCCCCTGCATCGTCGGCGATTCCGCTGACTGAAGGAGCTTTGTTATTTCAAACCCTAGAACTGTCAAATGTCGGGCCCGGAAGCGCGTGTGCCGGGTGCCCGTCACAGGAGGGGCCGCATGTCTGGCAGCAGCGGCCATCTGGCACAGGGGAGGCAGCATGTCCGGCACATGAGCAGCCGTCGTACACTAGGGCGGTCGTGTGTCCGTCACGGAGAGGCCGCTTGCCGGCACAGTAGCAGCTGTCCAGCGCTAGGGCGGGCGCGTTTTCGGCACAGGAGAGGCCGCATATCTGACACAGGAGGGGCCGTCTAGCACTGGAGTGGGCGCAAGGTCGGTACTGCAGCTGACGCGTGTCCGGCACAAGAGAGGCAGTGTGTCCGGCACAGAAGAGGCCGCATGTACCGCCACTGGAGCGCGTGCGTGTTCGGCAATATGGTGTGTGCACGTTGCTATTTGGTGTTAGTGACGAATCCGCCGGTGGGCGCGATAGTATTACGTAAAAATGAGGAGTCTGCTCTGAGTTGCGCGGACGGCAAAAATCAAGTTGAAGGAAACAGCAATATGGAAAAGCGGCGCATAGCAAACGCCTTTCCGGAACCAGCCCAAGTCTATCTCCGTGCACTGCTCCAGCCATGCGCTGAACCTGACGATTGTTGAGGAAGCAAAAAAGTGCCATTGATGGCCGAAACAAGAAACGTGGTGAGGAACGTGTCGACGTGCCTGAACACTGCAAAAAGGGAGAACATGTTCGAGGAGCACATCCGGAGCGGAGATGACGCAGATGGCGATCTTGTGATCTGATCTGGATCAGATCAGATCTGGTGATCTGGGTGGAGCTAGAGCACACCGTCCACAGAAGGGCAAAGGAGTGCACCCAGATGCACGAAATTCGATGAGAAGGATCCTGGCTCAATTGCGAGAGCTTAGCATTGTGTTAACACCGTCCACGTGCATCCAGCTTTTCTCACAAAGTGAGCTCTTCGCCAAGCAGCTGCAGAGGTCTTCCATGACTGCTGGTGAAATATTCCTCGGTGCGCAGACACTCAACAAGATCATGCAGGTCATGAGAAGGTCACAAAAGGAAAGGCTCATGTCGACCCTCCAGCAGCACCGAGACTGACCAGGCCACCTAAACATCTGGAGCAGTGCGCAGATGCTGTGGGTGACACGGAGTTTGACGTCCGGGCCTCCCTCTGTCGCCAATACTACGAGACGTCGGACCTGATAACCGTCAAGCCACAGCGTCGTTGCGAACAGCCTGAGCTGAAAGGTCTACAGATGCTGAGAGACACTCTCATCAGACATCAAGCTAAAACAACAGACGCGCTTCGAGAGTCACTGGGCGCTCATGGGTATCTGGACCTGCTGGCTGCGGAGCGAAGGCCTGTCGCACCCGATGTCGACCCAGAGCTGCGCTCGGCGCAGTTGAAAGTGCTTCGCGGCACCGTCCTCATGACGCCAGACATGAAGACTGTGGCTGATCTGTGTCTGACGCGCGAGTCAAAGGGGAGGTCGTCCAGGGGATGGCCGAGTAAAGTGATGCGTCTTTGTCGCCTCATGATGACCGTACCTGTGTCGGCAGTCCCAGCAGAGCGTTCGTTCTCCGCCCTGAAGCTGGCGGAAGCGTACCTACGTGAGACGATGTGTCAGCAACGGCTGTCGCACCTGATGATGCTCCATGTTTATCAGGCACGCGCCTTTGCGCTGACGCCTGGACAGATTTTACGTGAGTTCGTCCCCAGGCACGCCGATGAGCGAATTTCGGTGTTTGGGCGGCAGTAGTGTCGCATTGTCACCGAGGTCATAGCGTAGCGCGGTCTCTTCGGGATTGCCCCATGTCCGACTGGGAGCGAAACGTGGCCGTGGTTGTTGTTTAGCATTTACAGGGTGCCTGCTCGGAAGTTTAGTTTTCAAGTGCCCTGGTGAGGCCCGTGGCATGATTCTAAACATACATTGTAAACGCCAGATAGCGATGATGTGAACCGATGTAACCATATCGCCAAGTGACAACTGAGAAGAGTCGACAGACGTTCTCAACATAAGTGAACGTGTTTCAATCGTACCTCATAAGCTCTAGCGATTGGTAAGCGCTAATAGGCTTTTATATCGGGTGTTTTGTTTTCTGTGCTCCCCTCGACCATTATGAGATGTTTTGGGAGCATACCACCGTTAACGCAGTTGTTAGGGTGTTACATCTAAACGCATTCAAGGCCTGGAATAATTAACTCGGAGCACATCAGAAAATGTTTCACCTACACACCGCAATGGCCATCTTCGCGCCCCAGGTGAAAGATGTCTCATTCGAATGCCGCGGCGCTGGGCTAGAGTCCCAGAAAAGCGACTTGCTTTCCCAGTAGCCTTTAAGCTGGTGATCAGAGAGTCATCCTGGCACGGGGTAGTTGTCTCATAGCTTTGCACGACATGAAAAACGTGTCTCCGATTCGTTTCGTGTGAATAAATTACCGCAGGCAAAATAGCCCGTTGAACTGGAACTGCGCTATTGAGTTCGCGGTTTGGGGCCCTCCATCAGGCTCATCATCATCTTTATGTGAAATTTAGCTGGCTCCTTGTAGCAAGCTATAGTTCACGTAAAGGAAGCTGGGGTCAAAGCGATTGACTGAAGTCATTCGGGTAATTTCTACACATAGTTATGACATACAACATTATGTGGCTGATCTGGATAAATTCTTAAGGTCCGAGTCAACGCTAAGGCGTTAAACCTTGCCGACTGACCACCCGACTGCAAAATCCCAGCTAAACGGCAGAACCTTGCGGCGGAAGTTTAACGTGTCGTAATGTTCAGCTCAGTCCACCCTGCTGATCTTGAGCGGCCACGGACCCCGGCTGCTGGCTTTCCTGTAGACGGCGTCACCTGTAGGCGGCGCCCTTGAAAATGCGCCTGCCGCCCCATCCGCTAGATGGCACCGTGCCCTACGGAGTTTCAGGTTTCACTTGGAATTTGCCACGTTAACTCCGCCAGTTGTACCTGCAATCATTTCTACCTTTTAGCTTATTTCTTCACGCCGACAGAAATAGTTCAAACTCGTTAAGACCTTTCACTTGGCGAATTGTTTCACAATGTCGTATGTGCCTTTCGTCAGCGCCAACAGGTATGCTATGCAAACATTCGATTCCCTCTCTCACGCTGCGACACGCACATGGGACGGCCGGGCCGCTCACTGCTCCAGTGACTGCCGAATAAACCTTTGGTGTTAAGACACGCGCTCAAGTGTTAGTACCCACACGCACAACATTCCCTGTCAGGTGCAGATAGCGGGGCATGGAAGCTACTCGTATCCTTATCCAACCACCCCGGCGCAGCTGAGTTGAGGCAGATGCTGTAACTCATGAGACACAATGGCGGGCAGTCGCTAATTTAACGACCTGAATAAGTAGCCTCACTGAACTGTAAGGGCCCATCGGTTAGGGAGGCCCTTCGTTAAGTCCGCCGCCTCCCTCCCAGATTCGGACACGCCGCCCTGTTCCCACTGACACATTATATTTTTCGACACAACTCAAGGTTATCATACTAAAGTTGAGTCATGTGTAGGCCAACACAATAATATGGGTGTTAGAGTGAGACAAGCGGGGAAATTTTCAAGGTAAATGCTGACAACATACTATGGCAGTGAATCAATGTAACTTCTTAAATTTCCGGGCAGACAAATGCGGTGCGTTTGTGGACCTTTTGTTGTACCAATGTAGCCGTACTGTTGGCGCCCCTGGCCTTGTGCCCGCCGGTGCTGCGCATGGTCGAGCAGATATTCGTGTGTCAGCGTGCACTGTGTGGCGTCGTGGGTGGTTTCCAATCGCCCAAGTCGTTGTGCGTGAAAAGTGCACGTGTTTCGAGGCTGGGTGAGGTTAGTGAAGCTGTCCGCTGTTTTGAATATAGAGTTTCGGTGTTTTGGGTCGCATGTGACGCCAAGCACCATCCTAAACACCCGCCTGGGCGCGCGCGTTAGATAGCCTTGGGCACGCAGAAATCTACGGCTCCGCGAGTTTCCGGCTGTTGAGGAGGATTTAGCATTGGAGAGAGCGCGCATCATGCACCAAGAAATCCAAGCTGAATACTTGATGAAATGCATAAAGGGGCATTAGACAAAAGCATCATTTTCCCTATGGATCTAAGAAGTGTTAGCACAAAATGATGACCTGGGCATAAAGCTAAAGCAAGATTTATTGTTCATTAAGGTCTAAAAAATCAATATGAGAACTGATAAATTACAGTGGCTCTGCCATTGAACACTGCAGTGCTGTGCTCACTTTCATGTAACCTTCTGACAGTGGGCCTTGGCAAGTCAATGTATGGAGGTGGTGGAGTGGTTAGTTGGTGGTGTAGATAAAGGTAATATATAAGTTCAGCTCAGTGTCATACACTGACAAAAGTATTGTATCAGACTCATTGTTGGTGAGTAGATGTAGCAGTGCTAATTTTGTCTGATTGGCATGCCCTGTAATAAGTAAATAACTCGTTCACCCCTGCTGCAATGACCTCCGGGTGCTGATCTTGCAGCAGTCTGATGTCCCAGATGGTGTGGTTTTGTGCATAACTTTGTTGAGCAGGTGAGCAGAGAAATCTTAAGTCCCAAATAAAGGGAGCAAACCATGTTCTCCCTGATTTTGACCAATTTCTTCTCAAAGTCGGGAAAGTGGCTAGCATTCCATCTAACTGAATAGGAAACTACACAACTGGCACTCCCAAATTAAGTATATCTGGGTCACTAAAGGCCTAGGCACATATCACATTGCCCCAGGATCTTTCCATTTGATGAGAGAGATCTACCTTAGCTAGGATGTAGCTGCACAAACTACTATGCAACAGGTGCTCCTCTTTATATTGGTGTGGTCTGCATGACATTTTAATCATAAATTTGTCATGATGTGCTCTGTAAAATTGTACAATGGGTGCATATTTTAAGCATTGGTTTCCCTCAACCCTAACTGGGACTCACATCTTTATAATAGAGTTGTCAATATTAACTGCTTTCTATCAGCACCATAGCTTCAAAAAATATAGTAGGTGTGAGCATAGACTAAGGAAGGAGACACTTACTTAGGAAGGTAGGAAATTTCAGAATTGGAAGAAGTCAATCTCTAATGGTCTTTGGCGATCACTGAGACCAGCAAGAGCATAGTATTTATTAGTATTAATATATATAGTATTAATATGGGTGCTCTCATCCCATGAAATTTGGATGTTGAGAGAAGTAATGGTCATATCACACCTCTCTGAAAAGAAAAAAGCTCAAGTCCTTAGTGCTGGACAGTGGCTCAGGTATGCTATGTCCTTGAGGAAACCCCTCCATCCCTTATATGGCCTGCTAAAAGAAGAAGAAAAGACCAAATTTGAGGAGGAACTTGATTGTTACCATAGGTTATGGAGGACATTTTATTTTTCACTTTTTGCCCCTCCTCCAAACTCAGTTTGCCCTTGTGAGTGGCCTGCCATGGGGAGAAAGTGGCTGGTGCTAAGCCTGAGGTGGTATTCAGGTGACCACAAAGAAACCTCAAATCGGAGTAGCGCGAATCTGATATGGGACACAAAGGACTGGCTAAAGGTCAAGGGGGCATAGGTCGGACCCTCAGAGACCAGCCAGAGGACCCATTGCACTGATTGGGCCCCAGTCTGGACCTGGGAGGCCATTTCCCTAGCAGGGACAAGGTCAGGACCTGCTATTTACATTGTTCGGTGCACCCTGAGCCAATGAGGGACCCCTTTGCCAGCTAGGAGTACACAGCGCGTAACCGGAGGTCTGGTGTTGACAAGGGCCCCCGAGTCGGTCAGAGAGTGTACAAGGGTGCCTGAAGAGCGACTGATGTGCCCATCAAGACGGACGATCAGCGGGGTGATGGGAAGGCTGAATGGCCATAAGGGTCGAAAGGCTGCAGGTTATCCTGACCCATATGGATGTGACTCCAAATGTCAGCCAATATGCCTATTTCACTGATTGTGGGCCCCAAGGACGATACAGCCATCTATTTCGGCCGGAGACCACTACACCGAGTAGCCGACTCCGCGTTGCTCTGAGTCACGGGCCCCCATTTCTCCAGCAGGAACGAGGCCGAGGCCCGCGATTTGCATTGGTCAGAGTCCCTACAGCAATGAGTGGTCTTTTGATGGTCAGGCCCCCGGAGTGTGCAAATGCGGGGTCCTGTGATGGAAGGGGTCCAGAGTTGGCCAGTGGTGACCCGGCCCCTTACAAGACCCTGCACCCCATTTTAGCCAAGGGCCTGTTGGCCAAACATGGGTCCTTGTGCCAGTTAATGGTTATCAGGGATCTTATTGCACCATTGAGGGCTCCTGCGCCCATCCCGGGCCAAATGCTCTGGCCGGCAGCCGCCAGAGGGCCTTCCGCGCCAGGGAGGGCACCAATGTGGGATGCACATGTGTGAGGGCCTCCGGACGAACCCCTCAGGCGAAGCCTGCCTCCATGTCGCCAGAATGGCAGCTGGTAGACACCCCTGGGCCAGGGACGAAATGATCGTTAAAGCAATTACCCAGGGCCACGGGTATGGGGCCTCGGGTACAGGGGCACGGGGCCATGCCCCCCCCCAAAAAAAACCTCTGAGAGTGTGTTTTGGCCCTCCCCCCAAAAAAAGCATTCCCAGAACTCCATAAAAGTTTTGTCTGACTTTACCATCTGTTTTAACTTTAACTTTTTTAACTGTTTTATTTTAACTTCTGTTTAAGGATTCAAAGGCATTTTGATGTTTTTTTTCGGTTTTGAATGGTGTTCCTACTAGGTACTCGCGAGAGGCACCAAACACTACACCTCAGATCCCACACCAGCCAGCCGGCGGCAAACAGTCTGGCATTGGTCTACAACAATGTCTTTTTGTGCCATTTACCAGCTGTTGAACCATCAGTCATCACCAGCTTAATGTATTATGACTGGAGGGTCAGTGCTCACACATATGCACAAGAGATAATTCACCTCTGGTCACACATCATTCAGTGTTGTGACACCTCATCACCTGAGATTCGTTCTCATTCTAGCCACCAGGTCAGAAAACTTCAAAAAACTTGCAAAAACAAAACTTGTGTTGTAATTATGACAGTTTTGTTTCCCAGGCTTGGACCCAATCTTAACATAACCCAGCCTACCCCTGCTCCTACTGCTTACTCCTACATATACCCCCACTTATATGCCTATTCCTACCCCTTTTTCTTGCTGTTGCAATGGGGACTTCACCCATGCTCAGCTGACTCATCAAAAGCTCAACTGACTTGCCTATCAATCACCAACACTCTTGTGATGTACTTGCATACTGCCTAACACCATCATGAGTACAAGGTAAAAGTTATTTTTTTTTAACTGAAAGATACAGTACTGCTGTTTTGTTCTTTTAGCGCCTACCTGGTGTATTGTGGTCACAAGAAGCCTTATATAGCCATCTTGTAAGATTGTGATGCTCAGAAAGGTGGTGCAGGTCCCAGTTAATCACAGGAAATTGCTGTGCAAACTAGCCTTTTGAGCAGACCTAGCATCTGAGATGTTTGGTCTCAGCAAACCTAAGCCTAATGGGATGCTCCTCCCCTGCCCCCCCCCCCCTCCCTAAGATGTTGGGATGGGGAGAATCCAGACCAGGCAGGGGGCTTGGCTGACTGCCCCTGGGGTGTTAGGTTAGGGCCATATTGTCTTCTGATCTGGGAAATATGTGTACAGAAGTGGCCAAAACTAAGAGCTGCTGTTGATAGATATAAAGTGCAAGCAGCATGGATAACCAGGTGTAGCTGTGCACGAACCACAGTATGTAAAACAAAAAGAATGTGGGCTTGCTCCAAGCGAATGCAGCATTGATCACCTAACTGTGCACATAGTTATGTTGTAGGCTGTTAGCCAGTGCTGAATTCTGTAAAGGAAACCAGCGAATCAGGGATAGTGATATTCACAACCCAGCAAGCCATTGTGGACTGTAACATTTGCGATCATTGGTCCTAGTGTGATCAGTTGTTGGGGCATTCAAATATACAAATATAGTAATGTCACACTTCTTTTCTCAGGTCCGAGATGTCGCTTTACACAAAGAAAAAAGATGTGGATCACTTTGTGAAAGAGCTGCTTTCTAAAGTGAAAGCTGCTGATGAGGTAAGTATTGTATGTGTTGTGATTGGTGGGCGGGGTTACAGGCTGTTGTGTCGTGGGATGGTGTGTAGCATTCGCAGGCTGCCAGACATTTGCATGATGGTTTAAAGGCCTGTGTGGAGCAAGCAGCTTGTATTAAAATGAATTGTTCTGGTGGGAATTAGGTTGATTCCTCTCTGGTGTCAACTGTGTGGTAGGCTCTGTATTTTGCATCACAACAGTGGATGCATATGCAATGGCTGATGATCATGAAATGTGTAGTACTGTCAGTCAGTCTGCATGGCAAGCTTGTTTTGGCATGGGAGGCTGTAGTGTTGATATGCTACAGGCACCTAGTTTTATGGATTAAGCAAGGGCATTGTCATTATCATTTCAGTCAGACCAGGGCAAACATGTCAACACACTGCCTGATGAGACCCTTTTCAGCAGCATTGTTTGAATGTAATCTCACCCATATGTCTGGGTCCCATATGACTGGATAGTGTTACACCTGCCAAAAGCTGAGTCGAAAACGCAAACCTCGAGCGCGTCGTCAGCTGAGCAGCGCCGCCGCTGGGGCTGTGTCGCGCCTCCCACTGCTACCCTGTGTGAGCTAGCCGCTCCCCCCCCCCCCCCCCCTGGCTACCGCCGGGTCTTCAGCGCGCCGATCGCCGGCAGCGCGCTCTTCGCGGCTTCAGCATCGCCCGCATGTACCATCACGTGGGCGAACATCGCACGGCGCTAGAGTACCTGGACTGGTATCTGAAAGCGAAGCCGGGCGCCGCGCCGGCGCACAAGTTGCGTGGTCAGGTGCTGGCCGCCACCGGCGACCGGCCGGCTGCGCTGGCCGCGTACCAGCGCTCGCTCGAGCTCGACCCGCACCAGAAGGGCCTGGTGATGACCGGTGAGGGCGGCTGGGCGCGCGCGGCCGTGCTGGGCTGCTGGGCGCCGGAACCGGAGCTCTCAGAGCAGTCCTAGTGTACTGTTGGTATGCATTTCAGGACCGGATGTGAACGACGTTTGCGATTATCGCGTCGTCTGGTGTCCTTTCGTGCGGATAATGTGGATCTGTATCTACCGGTCGGAAAACAAATTAATGATGGAAGGTGTTTCAGGTTCAGACCGTACTAAACTCCACCGAACCGTCCCCTGAAACTGAGGACAGCTGAGTTACTTGGCTGTCAGTGAATGGACACAATCTCTATCGTTTACATCGCTGCTGCTGCGTGCCATGCTGGCCATCGCCCACCTGATATGGGAGCGCTCCTGATGCGACAGCTTTTCGCCGTGCTCGTGTTGCGCCCGAGCGATGCTCATTATCACTGCGGCTCTGCGGTCGCCGCCGCCACCCGTGCCTGCCATCAGGCTCCCACAGGTCGTCTGCTGCCTGTCCCGCAGGCTGCCAACTGCTGCTCGATCTGCCGCCGAACTCGGCGCCGGACGGCCGGTGGCTGCAGCAGGCCGGCAAGTATTTCCCCAACGACCCGATACTCATAAAGCTGAAGGAACGGCAACTGCGCTCTCCGGCAACCGACAAGGACTTGGACGACCTTGAGAAGTTGATGGCAGGTCAGGACGTGTTTCGGCGAACATTAGTCGTGCCAGCTCGTGTATTTGCCCAGCTACAGTTGGCGACAGTATCAGCCGGAAGGTTATCCCCATTTCGTGATGAAAGCTGATGCAGCCTCCACAGAAGATGGACGTTCCAGGTCTGTTTTGGCTATGTCATTGGTAGAATGAGGAGCACCCTAGGCCGTCAAAGTTGGACATAGCAGACAAAGCTCAATGGTTGCACCTTCCCCCACCCATGTGCACATACACATACCACTACCACTGATCTGCGGAGCTGTGGTGACCGGCCCGTGTGTGCGCCGTGTGACCTAGCTGACTGTGACGTAGCACACAGTGTGGCTTGGCTGATTGTGTGACACGACACAGTATGACCCGGCTGACGACGTGACACGACATACAGTGTGACTGACTGACTGTTGTCACGGCATACAGTGTGATCTGGCTGTGTGTCATGGTGTACAGTATGGCCTGGCTGACGGTGTGGCATGGCGCACAGTGTGACTTGGCTGATTTGTGGCACAGTACATAGTTTGACCTGGCTGACGGTGCGACACGACACACAGTATGACCTGGCTGACTGTGTGTCACGGAACACAGTGTGACCTGGCTGTGTGTCATGGTGTACAGTATGACCTGGCGGATGGTGTGACGTGGCACACAGTGTGACTGGCTGACGGTGTGACACGGCTCATAATGTGACTGGCTGACGGTGTGACACGGCACACAGTGTGACTGACTGATAACGTGACACGACGCAGTGTGACATTGCTGACGATGTGACGCGGCACACAGTGTGACTGACTGATAACGTGACACGATGCAGTGTGACATCGCTGACGATGTGACGCGGCACACAGCGTGACCTGGCTGACCTGATGCCGGCGCGCCGACAGACGCCGTGGCCGCCCAGCCGGAGGACGGCGACCGTCACATCCGTCTGATGAGCCAGCTGACGGCGGCCGGCCGCGCCGGCGACGCCTACAGCTACGGCCGGCAGGTGGAGCAGCGGCGCCCGTTCCCGCGTTCGGTCGCCTGGTACCGGTGCCTGGCCGACGCCTGCCAGGTAGGCGGCGCAGCATTTGGCCTGCGGCCTGCCGACACCGGCGCTGTTTCTTGACGCTCATTACCGCGGATGCCGCTGTGTATTTCTTGCTAGACAGATTGTGCGATGCGGATTGGTTTGCAGATTGATGATGAGCCAAACGAATGCAGTTGTCGATGCTCTCAAAAGCCCCCATTATCATGGTCGCTCTTCGATAAAAGATCTATAGGCGTAGAAAACATCTGTAAAATATAATCAACCAACCAACCAAATCGATCATCGGATACGGTGCGTCGAGGCTGTGCGGTCTGTCAACCCTAGCATCAAGGTCTACCACATTTTGACCCATTCTACCGTCATTGTTTCAACATACCGTTCTACATTATAGGAATATAGGTGTTTTTTTCCACGTACGTGGAAAGCTGGAAGGCTTTTTCCCCTATCTGAGAGGATGACCACAATTCAAACCCAATTAAGTGCTGCGAAGCCAACACTTCTTCCGGAATACCGAACCTGAAGGCGTTAACGTCATCTAGGTGTGTCGGCAGCTGTAACGTTCCTGTTTTGTTTCCATCATTGCCATGCTATGTTGCCATTTTTTCAGAATGGCTTAACGTGCCACTTGTGAAATGGCGTGTCTTTGGCGTCAGCCGACAAGCATAGCTCTTTATTTCGATCGCCGTCAACTGCCTTGGCTGTGTGTGCCCAGTGATTATTTGGGGTGTCAGCTAGAAACAAAGTGGATAACGTATGAAGAGCAAGGTGTTGTGCCATCTGCATTTTGCATAGTTAATATTTATATATTTTTTGTATTTCATTGTTATGAATTAATGTTACTTGAAAGGATTGACTGTATCAGCATATAATATAATTGTGCAGTGTTACGTCTACGGAGGGAACAAATTTGATATATTCCCAAGGTTTTTGATAATTCTCCTTTGGTATGAAGCAATCTTTGGTTGTTTTGGAGGCTTAAAGAACCTAAAAGGGATATGGTTTCGACGGATTAGCGATAGTGCCAAATCCGACTTACACTCCGAGTAGTATTTCAGCAGTTTTCAGTAGCTTCTCCAGGCTAAAGTGGCGCGTTTCGCCACGGCAGCTGCGAAGACCCACAAACGGCCGGCCGGCCGGTGACACGGTCTGCTGTGAGGACGGTGTGCGGGCCGTGTCCCGCTTCGCTGCGTGCGGGCCGCCAGAGCGGCCGCGGCCGGCGTGTCTCAGCCGCCGTGCTGGTCACGGGCGACTGAGCGGCGCCGCTCTCTGACCGGTAGAAGCACCAGGCGTCGCTGGCGTCGCCGTCATCGCCGCCGCTGGAGCTGCAGCTGACCCAGCTGGCCGCGCTGGACCGGCTGGTGGAGCTGGAACTGGTGGCTCGAGCGCCCGCCACTCAGATCGTCACCAGCCTCTACCGGTGGGTGCTGCGACGGGCAGCGGTGCTGTCTGGATGCACTGTGGCTATAGTGTAGTGGTGCCGTTTGTGATGTTGGTAAGGATTTTTACGGTGTACGTGTTGATCACGGCTATGATGCCGATGCTGGTGACGATGCCAGTGACATGCGAGTTGCGAAGCGGATGGTGTAGAGTTTGGAAGGAAGGACCTCTCTCATGGCCAACCGGCCACACGGCCGGGATGCCTTTTATCTCGGAAGATTATCCGCTGCTGGAAATGCAAATGAATGAATCGGGGCTGTCTCGACATCTGCCCGTTCGCACCCGGCGGCGGTGCAGGACCCTGCGCGGTGGGCGCGTCCCTCTCGAGCTCGCTGCTCGGTTGGCTGACGCGGTGGCGGGCGCGGCCCACAGGCTGGACCAGCTGCTGCTCCAGGCGGGTCGGGATACGGATGACTCGTCCAAGCCCGAGCAGACGCGACTGGAAGCGCGCGCCTTGCTCAGCCACGTCACCGGCCAGCTCTTCTATCACATGGCCTGCGTGCTGCTGTACACCGCTAAGGTGAGACGGCGGCTGAGACCAGCACTGACGGCCGGCCCAGCTGACGTCAGCGCTGGTGACCGGCCCAGCTGACGTCAGCGCTGACGGCCGGCCCAGCTGACGTCAGCGCTGACGGCCGGCCCAGCTGACGTCAGCACTCACGGCCGGCCCAGCTGACGTCAGCGCTGACGGCCGGCCCAGCTGACGTCAGCGCTGGTGACCGGCCCAGCTGACGTTAGCGCTGACGGCCGGCCCAGCTGACGTCAGCGCTGACGGCCGGCCCAGCTGACGCCAGCTCGCGGCGCTAGCCTGGCCACTCCGTGTGCAGGTCGTGACTGGAGGTCATGACGTATTTGCGCCGCGTTGTTGCGCTGCCGGGCTTTGGTTCGTTGAGTTCGCAAGGCGCTTGAATGAGAATGCAGTGACTTGAATATGCACCACTGCCATTACACTCAACACATTGCGCGGATGAAATGTCAATTGACGCACTCGTTCGCAGCAGTGTATGAGCCAAACTACCATGCGTATTGTATTGTTTTGATCCATATGAGACATGCCCCAAATCCAGGGCCTCCAAGGAGCCCTTTGTCAGATCACCGCGGCCGTGCTGTACGCACACCTTCGGCCCGCCGTGGCAGCCCCGGCCGACGACTCCTCCCCGTCACGTGACCTGCCGCCGGTTACAGGGCGGCGCTGGTGAGAGGCGGGAGGCGGCCGACATGGCGCTTGTGCTGTTGCTGGCCGCGCAGGCCTTCCCGCCGCTGGAGCCCGTGTCGCGCATGTACCAGCTCTCCAACAGACAGGTACGTGGCGGCCGACCGTGAGACCCGTGCGGCTGCCGCGACTGCAGAGCGGATGCGGTGCAGATGAGTCGTCGCCGTGGATGCCGCTGTCCTCGGCGTGTTGGCACGGCTCTGACCACGCCCTGGCCGCGGGCAGGCGACGCTGGACGTGTGGCGCCAGTGCGCCGGCGCCCGGCTGGTGGAGGTGGGCTGGTGCATCCTGGCCGCCGAGCGCAACAGCAAGCCTAATCTCTTGCTGGACGTGCAGCAGCAGTTCTGCAACGAACAGGGCCGCAACCGCATACACTCGGTGAGTGCGCGGGGGGGGGGGGGGGGTTGCCGGTAGTGTAGTGCTTAACGCGTCTGGGAAACCAGAGGTACGGGGTTCCATTCCCCGCGGTGCCCGCCCGTCCTGCCAGGGTGACAGGCGGGCGGCGCCATATAGCCGCAGCAGCTGAGTGCGTCGTAAAGCCCCAATGGCATGAACTGAGTGTGCGGGCGGGAGAAGCGTTGCCCCGCTCTCGTTAGACAGCCGACAGCGTCACGTGACACCCCATGCGAATGCGGCGTGCAGCGCTCCGCACCTTCGCTGTGTCCTTGTGGTTGGGTGGCTTGACTGATGATCACAAACTGCCGTGAATGTTTGGTATCGTTGTAATGCCGCGGAACAACGCTCGCTGTGGCGCATGTTTCGGGGGTGGAGTGCGGGCGGAGTGCCGGATGCACCCGTCGTCGGGTGGCACTGGTGTTGGGCCAGAGACCGAGGGGTCCAGGTCCGCTCCTCCCTGCAGGCCGCTGGGCGCCGGTTTCCGCCGGGCGGCCGCGGCGCTAATGACGCCGGCAGCCGCCTGGGTCGCCAGCTAGCCGTCGTTTGACCGCGGCCCGTTGTTCCGGCAGCGTGTGTTCGGCGGAGGCGCCTTGTCGTCGCTGGGCCGTCGCGCCACGTCCGCCTTCCTCACGCTGCCGGCCTTTCTGGAGACGAGTCCGGCGGCGCCGCGGCTGGCCGACCTGGCCGCTATGGCCGGCCTGTTCTGGGCGGAGAGGGCCGGCTCGCTGCACCACGCCGTCTGGCTGCGGCTGCGCTCGGGCGCCGCCGCCGGCCCGGCGCTGGCGGCTGACCTGCGGCTGGGCGACCCCGCCGTCACCTCGGCGGCGCCCGAGACGCTCTGTCGTATCGACGTGCTGGCTTTCCTCGAGGCTACCGGTGAGGGGACGGGGGCACGGGCCGCCGTGGTCACCTTGTGGCGAGGTGGCGCACAGGAGCTGTGGCCAGCCCACCCGCGAGGCAGCCTGCGATGGAATGCCGACTCGGGGACGCCATACATCCGTGATAGAAACATGTGGAATTGCTTATGTACGTTTCTGTGTTGTCACAGCCACGCCGTGTGGCGGCAGTGCATAAAGCAAATGCGGTGAAGCGAATGCAGCTGCGAGCGCCTTTGAGTCGATGCCGGAGGCGGTGCTGGGGGCGTAACCGGTTTTCTGAAGTGTCTGACAAGCAACTCAGTGGTACTGAGACGTGTAGTACATGCTTCCTAGTGATATGGTGTGCGGTCTACACACAACGCCATAGTAGTATCCCATTGGTATGACTGCTGTCGCCTATGTGATGTTGCAAGTCGTCCTGTGTATTTAGGCAGCGTTTTGGCTCTATTTCAATTTACTGTCGCCGTTCCGCTCCCGTGGGACAAGCGACACACTGTTCAAGCATGGCAAGGTGTGCATTCCATTGTGACAGAGGCAGCACTGCAGTGCTCCAAAGCCAATGGCCAGTTGGGTGTGTTGGGTGGAAATATCATTTGATGCCTTCCGAATTCTGGCTTCCAGCAGCGTGCACATGCACGGTAATTGACTGGCTGCGAAGCCGTTGCTTTTTGCCCCCGATCACTGACACCTGATCCGTCCCGGCTCTACCCAGACCGAGGCGCCCGAATGCCGGACTGACCGCCGTCTAGCTGTCAGCCGGACAGCCGCTGTCTGGCGGCTGTCCGGCTCTGTGGCGGCGTCGGCTCCGGTCCATTGCAACAGCTGCATTTATGTTGCATTCCATTTTGCGAAACCCCTGTTTCAGTATGGATTCGAACGTCTCTGCGTCAATGTTCCAGCGTGCCAGCTCGTCTCTGTTTCAGTATGACGGCGGCGTTTGCTACGGTGTGGCGGCGTGTCAGCTTCGGCATGACAGTGGCATCTCTGTTACAGTATGACAGTGGTGTCTGTGTTACAGGATGACAATGGTGTCTCTGTTACAGGATGACAGTGGTGTCTGTCGCAGCATGACAGTAGCGTCTCCGTTACGGCATGACAGTGGTGTCTTCGTTGCAGTGTACACGACGGACCAGATCCGGGCTGCCGCCGGCGGCCGGGACCCTGAGCACCTGTTTCCACCGGCGGTGGCCAGTCCGCTATGCACACCCGACCAAGCGGATTGGTCAGTGCACCAGGCGCTATGCCTGGTGTTGAGATAGTGATGCCACTGGGATGTGACGCCTCAGAGGTCCGGGAGATGGTCTTGGGGGGCGGGGGGCCTGAAAATGGGGGGACAATTGACGATCTGTTAGACGAAGCTTTTGTAACGATGGAGGGGCGATTGACGATCTGTCAGACAAGACCTTTTGTGAAGATGGAGGGGCAATTGACGATATGTCAGACAAAACTTTTGTAAAGATGGAGAGGCCATGGACGATTTGTCAGACAAAACTTTCAGTAAGACTGTCACCCCGCTGGAGAGTATGGAAAGGCCTGTTCTCTCCCCACCGCCTTCCCTTAACGATAGCCCGTGTTCTGACACAGCTGGTAAGCTGGCGGCCTTGCACAGCACGGCCGCCGTGTGCTGATCGCGAAGCGTCGTATGGAGCGGCGTCTGCGTGCGCGCGTGGCTCTCCTTCGCGGCCCGTGAGCTCCGCCGTCCCGCCACCAGGTGGAGCGCGGTGCAGCGTGTGCACGCGGAGTCGGCGCGCCGCACGAGCTGGGCGGCCTGCGGCGCACGCTCCAGCGCGGCCTGGAGGTGGTGCGCTGCTTCAGCGGACACGGCTGCTCGGCCGGACTGGTGCTGCGGCTGGCAGACTGGGCTCTTGAGCAGGTCAGCAGCAGGCGGTGCAGGCCGCTCCCCGCTCCCATCCCACCCGCGGCCGAGGAACGCTGCCTTTGGTGAGACGCTGGCACTTGGTCAGGCGTGGGGTTAGGGTCTGTACGCACTCGAGACCGCAATGTTTGTGTAGGGTGACGTAACCAAACCGCGGTTGTATAATCAACAGCACACAGCTGACCACCTTTGTATTTTTTGGGTGCAGAAGAGGTCTTAAAAGAGTGTCCTACATTTGTACGGGGTTTTGAACTGAAATAGCCCTCTTCAAGGCATAGTCCCCTCTACTTTCTACGTTACACGCCCGCGAAGATGCGCGGACTATTTCGGGAAGCTATTTCTAAGTCATCCAGGCATCCATGACGCCAGAATGGCGTCATTCAAATCCTATTATTTAACTATGCGGTGATTAAGGCCAAGTACAGATATAGTTGTTGAGTTGTTCATATCTGGCGTTCGTGAGCTCGATTTCCAGATGTAACGGCCGTTAGTTGGCTCTAAATCAGGCTTGTGCAAGGTACGCTGACGTAATCAGACAATGCCATATGGAGAGGCATATTTACTAAACAGAGGAATTGTGTTGTTTTGAACAGTCTTCACCACTTACAAGCATGCCAATGTTAAGTGAGCTTATTTCATCATATCTGATGTTTCCGTCAGCATCTTCAAATGTGGAACATCCATTTAAGGTAGTTCGTTTTAGTTCAAGATATCGGAGAGAACGCGAGAACCATGCGTAAAAGGACTGGTCCGAAAGTCACCACTTTGCTTCATAAGTGCCATAGAATGTTACGATGGCCACGTTCGCTGTCACCAGTCCAAGTGCATGGAGCGATGCGGTGGCGTTGGTACGTCACCCAGCTGTTGATAGGTGGCGCTGCTGTCCATTGCAGGCGGTGAGCGTCGCTCCGTCGGATGTGGAGGCGTACGAGGCAGCGCGCCGAGCTGTACCTGCGATCGGCGCGACAGCTGCTGGACAGCCTGAGGAGCGGCGGAGCTTCCTCCGAGCCCAAGACCAGGCTGTTCGACACAATGCGGTGAGAGGCCCGCCTGGCGAGCTGGGCAAGCTGGAAGGATGGAGGCTGCCTGTCATGCCAGTAGCGGTGTTAATGTGGCGGTCCTAGGTGTTGTCTGGATTGTAAATGAACAGAGTACTTGGTGTACCTCGAGGCTTTGCGTCTCCAGTATTGTGAGATGCCAACAGAAGCATGCAGTGGGTTGTTTCGATTCAGCATTCAGCCAGATCTGATTTCTCCGGTACGGTATGGTCGCCGAGTTACCCACGGGAGTGTGCACCAGCTTAACCCTCGTGATGGTCTTCTTGTGACCGCCTGTGGCCTGTGTGGTCTGTTGTCCCATGGCATGTGTGACCTGTAGTCCTGTGATCCTGTGTGACCTGTGGTGTGACCTGTGGTATCATGGTCCGTAACCTGTGTGACCTGTGGGTCGGTGACCTGTGGTCTGTAACCCGTGTGACCTGTGTGACCCGTAGTCTGACCTGCGGTCCCATGGGCTGTGACCTATGGTCTGCGACCTGTGTGACCTGTGGTCTATGACCTGTGTGGCCTGTGATCTGTGACCTGTGGTCCTGTGGTCTGATCTGTGTGACCTGTGGGCCCATAGTCTGTGATCTGTGTGACCTATGGTCCCATGGTCAGTGACCTATGGTCTGTATGGCCCATTACCTTGTGGTCGCCACGGCGTTCTCCGCAGGGCGGACCACACCAGCGCCGAGAGGGCCGTCTGGCTGCAGGACGGCGCGAGCCGGCTGCTGGCCAGCCTACTCCAGCGGCGCGGCCGGCTCGAGGAGGCGCTGCAGCTGGTATGCGGCCTGCCATCGCCCGAGGCCGCCTTCCAGCAGGGCGTGGTGAGTGGGCTGGCTTTGCGGGTCTCGCCCCCCCCCCCCCCCCCCCCCCCCCGTGTTCGGACGGACCGGCCCAACCTCTCTTGTTGGCGCCGCGCTGTGACTGCTCTGTGGAGGCGGACGACGTTTGTCACGACTGCGGGCGGTAGCAGGTTGTAATGTATTATAAGTGGGCAATTTATCACGGCGTTTGTAGAGGCTGGCTTCTGTATCTCAATACGGAATGCACGACGTGGCTGAGTGGCGGCAGAGGAGATGGGCTAGCCGGCGATGACGCGCTGAGGTCACGCCGACCCTGTGGGCGAGGTGTCAGTGCCGCTCGGTTTCAGATTCTGCGCCAGCTGGCGGAGCAGACGGAAGCCGACGAGGCAGCGGACCTGCTGCGCCAGTCGCTGGAGTCGTTCTACCTCACCCTGGACCGACTGCGCGACCCATGTAAGGCAGGTGGCCTCGGCGCCGCCGGTCGAGGCGTCGGCACACTGCGACACGGCCGGGCCCATTGTCCGCTGTGACGCAGGCGGGGACATGCGACTGGGACGCGCTGGCGAAGCGATGCCGAGTGACGACTGTGTCTTGCCGGGACGACCCATAGACTACTTGCTGAGCTGTGTGTTTTGGTCGGAAGTGGAAGGCCACGTGTCCCGAGCCCGCTTGAAAATTTCAAGCGGGATTGTATCAGTGCAGTGCGTGTGTGCGACGCGGCGTCGCGCGGGTGTGTCCGTTCCGTGCTGCTCGTTGTTTAGGTGTGTTTCTGCCCCGCGGTGCTATTCGGTCGGACATCTAGCGGAGTTTGTCTTTCGCATTGTTCGGTGTTGTTTTTTTAGCGCTAGTATGGCCACCGCGGTCGCTGGCGCTACAGTAAAGGCCGCTTGGTGACCTGCGTTACGTTCCCGTGTATAGTTACGCTGTTTTGCTTGGGTCGATGGTAAATTTCTTCTTTGTGTTAGTAATGCCGTGATGTGAGTGCTGGTGCCACGGATAGGGCCGCGCACCCATGACGTACAATGCTTCGAAATGCAGCCAATAATCGTCACTCTAGATATCGCATTATCGGATGTGTCGTGTCCTCTCCATTGCTATTGGCCACCGTCTTTGTGCGTCAGCTGACGCCTGGCTGCCCTGTGACGCCTCTGCACGCGGCTAACGGCCACAGCGACTCGGCTGTGGTGGAGGCTGGCATCTGCCGGCTCGGGCCCGTGTGATGGCGGCCGCTAAGTCTGTCGGGCCTCCGGCAGTGTTCAGCGCGCCGCAGCAGCTCCGAGACGACCTGGCCGTCCAGATTCGAGAGGTGGAGGCCATGAGGATGGAGGAGACTGCCTCCTCAACGCACGGTAAGCTGAACACCGTCCACCGCCTAGTGCCGGCCGGTGCACGTTGTCGGGCTCGGCATCGGTCGGTGCAGGAGTTTTGTGATCGTGTCATGTGCCTGTGTCCTGTAACTTAAGTATCAAGTGACCATGTACGGCACGTGCCGTTTGTTTACAGCCGACTGCACATATTGTGTGTATGAATGCTGTCAATCGTAAGAGCTGTTACTGACATGTATGAGAAATACCAATAAGATCGGCAGCATCTGCAAGTGATCGCCTGTGAGAAGTGACCCTCGGCTGCCCTCGTCGATGTCTGTTGTATTGATCGTCACGGGTGGGCTTGCGTGGCGGCGCTGTCCGTCTCGACCGTCCGCCTCGGATGGCTGATGGTCCCCGGACGCTGACGTCGGCCGACGCGGCTGTCCCGTCCCGGGGCGTAGCGGGCCCTGGCGCCAGCCGGCCTGCCCAGAGCCAGGGGCCGCACTTGGAGCCCGTCTGTGTACGCTGCGTCTGCGCGCAGTGCGGTTGCGGCTGGTCAAGACGAGTGGCGCCGGTCCGTGCGTGCGGTGCTGTGACTGCGCCCCCTTCTCCGCGACAGTGAATGGCTTTTCGAGCGTGCAGGCCGGCCAGGAGGGTGGGCTGATCACGCCGCGCCGGCCTGCGACCGGCGTGGCAAGCGTGGCCACATCTACCCCGCGGCTCGCCACCGTCAACACCCCGCCGCGGCCGGCCGACCTCTCCTCCAGCTTCGGAAATGTCAGTACGGCGCCGCCGCCAGGGTCTTGTGCGCCTGGCTATGTGCTTCGGTATTGTGCCAGAGGCGGTCCCTTTCACCTTATTGTTCACGTAGTCGTTGGCGGGTTTCCGTTTCCACAAATCCACGGTTTCGGTTCTGCCACAAGGTATGTTCAGTTCTGTAATGCGCGGTACGGGTCGTCCACATTGTCCCGTAAGGTCATGTCGCCTATGCTCCCGCCGCCGCTAGTGAGCAGTGTGCCCGCCTCGACGCCCGCTCCGTCGGCTGACCGTTGCCTGCCGCCGCCAGGAGTCGCGGCCCTCCCTGGATCGCGTGTGCGCCGAGCTGATGAGCCTGAAGACCTCGCAGCAGGCAATTCTGCGCCTGCTGTCGGAGCGGCGCTCGGAGAGCCAGCCGACCGAGCAAAGCCAGCGGAACGAGCCGCCCGCCCCGCTGCTGGACGAACTGCGTGCCTCGTTGGAAGACGTGCGCATCGCTGTGGCTGAAGTGCTGCGTGACAGCCGCCAGTCGATGCAGCAGCTCAGGGTGAGTCAGCGGCTCCGCCGGACGCTCGGCGCGGCGGACGCGGGCCGGCCAGCCCGGGCCGTCTTGTGGGACTGTGCAGATGCTTAGCGAGGCCACCCACTGTTGGAGGCAATCAGCTGCGAGATGTCATGGACGGCGGCGGCGTTCGTCTCTGGGATGCGTGGCATAGCCGTGTGACATCGCCTCTGCAGTAGCCGCGGCCACTGGCGTCTCGGTCTGTCGCATCTCGACGGGGCGGTCGAGATGCCTGACGTCTCGCTGCTGCCGCCCGACAGAAGGAGATGGCCGAACTGAAGTTACAGCAGCAGGAGCAGCCGGCGCGCCAGCCGCCGGCCGCCGTCACCCAGCCGGCGCCGCCGCTCGTGTCGCCCGAGATGTACGGCTACATGGTCGCCCTCGCCAGTGAGTGTGGCCGCCGTCCTGCCGGCCGGGTCCGGTCAGAGGGCCACGACTGGTGGGAGTCAAGCGCGTGTGTCACTGTTGTCGGTAATGGCGCGCCGGACGCCATGGGTGGGGTACAGCTTCGGGGAGGATTGTGGTAAGTGGGTAAGCGCCTATCGTTCCGGCCCTGTTTAGAGTGTCCTGAGTTGGACTATGGTGTCAGAGCGCCCGGCTCCTGTCCGTTACGTCCGTGTCCGTGTCCGTGTCCGATTGTGCGTTATTGCGGCCTGTGACTGGCCGCTGCCCGGGCCGCTCGGACTGAGTTGTGGTGTGTTGTTCGCCAGACATGCGCGGCGTGCCCATGCTGCCGCTGGGTCCGCCGGGTGCGCTGCCGTATCCCGCCCACCGCGTACCAGGGCCTGCCGATCCAGGACCCGCTGCAGTGAGTGCGGCCCCGTCCGGCCTCGCCTGGCCGGCTCTCCCAGCTGGACACGGAGTGCGGGTCACGACTGGCGCTCCGGACCTTTGGGAACGTGTGTTAACTCGCTGACCACGGTGCGGGCTGTAAACGATGGTTGCTTGTGATTTAAACTTGACACGGCAGGTTCACACACAAAGTCGTGCTGAAATATATGGCACGTTGCCGTTCTCTGCAACGTGTTGCATTTCGTTCTTTCATGGGGTTGTCGTGTGTCCAATGTTCCACGCGCTGTTCATCCCCCGTGTCGCTGTGTGTGGCTGGCAGGGTCACAGGGCCACTACTCCACGTCCTCAGAGATCCGTTGGCGTCTCATTCGGCGCTGGAGGCCCAGCTGGCGCCCCAGCCTGCGCTTGGGGCCCAGCTGCAGCCGGCCACACCGCAGCCAGCGCCGCAGCCGGCGCCGCAGCCGGCCAGCACCCCCAGCTTCTTCCGATCGTCCGTGCTGGCGTCGGATGCCTCGAGCGGCACGCCAGCCAGGGTGGGTAGCGCCCGACCTGGGCCTGAGACGCGCCAGGCCCGGTATTGTCAGGTGCAATAGCTGCAGAGACAGCGGCGGGGTTAGGCCTGTGTATGATGTTGACCTCGCGTGCTAAGGCTTCAGACAGTTGCACATGATGGCCGTTTAGCACGTTGGATGTCCTATATCACTCGTGTTCGACAATGCGGCTTTTCCGTGCCACTGCTTGACAACACTGCCAAACAGCCGTGGTGCACACCATTGCGGGTAGGTTGGCAGGGGACGTGCCGTTGTCGCGGCTTGAGAACCCCGGTGCCGTTGTTTTTAATACACTTGCACTGCCGCGCCTGCTTGGTACCGTGATTGGGTGACCCCTGATGGGCGACCTCTGATCCTCGGCTGGCGCGACAGGCGGCGCCGGCCAACGTCACGGTGTCGAGCCGAGAGGCGCTGCCGGCCCCGGACAGCGCGGTGCCGTCCGTCCCGCCGTCCGTCATCGTGCCGCCCGAGCACCGTAAGCCGCCAGGTGAGTCGCCGCCGCCGCGCTGGCGCTCCGCCCCGCCGGCAGTGACCTTGCCGGGACGGCGTGGCCCGTGGTGGGCGGGCAGGCACACCGGCGGGGCGTGCGCCCTGGCGAGCACGCGCGACTTGGGGCAGGTGGTGGCGGAACGGAAGTGGGGGTCCGTCTGTGATGTGGAGCGTTCCCAGGTGTTTACTGACGCCGCCCGGGCTGGTGTTCGCTGGGCTCTGACGACTGGCCGGTGCTGGGCCGCTGGTCAGCGAACGCTGACGGGTGTCAGTGTGCTGACAACCAGCCAGCGAGTGTGTGATGGCCGCGTAAACCAGCGACTTGAGCCGCCGATTCGAGTCGGGCGGTCGGCGGGCACCGGCGCCGGCGTCGTCGTCCGGCCGGCGGTAGCCGCGTCTGGTGACGAGCACCGGCTGACGGCTGACCTGTACCGCCAGTGGTGAGCCAGCAGCAGATCGCCGCCACCAACGGCCAGAAGTCGCCGCACCAGTTCCAGATTCAGCTGCCCTCGAGCGCCCAGCTGAGCGTGACTTCTCCGCTCGCCGACTCAGGTGAGTGACACACCACGGCGCCGGCGCTATGAGAGTGGTGCTGCTGTAACGGCAACGCCCTCGCAGTGAACACCATCAATTTTCTGACCAGTTGTTGCTAATGTCGGGGGGGGGAGGGGCGGGGTAGGATGCGAGGCTGGTGAACTATTCACGCTGCAAAATTAGTGTGTTTTGGACGGCAGGGGAATTCGTCCTATTACGATGAACTTCCCAGCAATATCTTCAAGGTACCTTAAAATCTGTTGTTGGTCGCGCACCAAGGCGTTCAGCTGCAAATTGGCCTCTTAACTCTTCTTGTTGCTCCGTATGTGTCCGTGGTGAGAGCTCTGTATCGCTCCACCCACTGAAATCGGTCGAAAGACAATGACGCTCCTTCGGAATCGATCACCCCCAAGCGGAATCGCGCACAAGCCTGTGCACTACCACCGCGCCGTCCCACAGCGTGCAACATCTCCCGCGGTCGTGCGCGGGTCCCAGGGCACGCCAACCTCAGCTTCCCCACCCGCTCTCATCGCGACCCGCCGCGTGGCATTGACGCGACGGACCGCCCCTGGCTGCTCCGTCTGACCCCTGCGCCGCCGTCGTCCGCAGACAAGCCGGCATTCAGCCGGGTCAGCACGCTGCCCAACATCCCGGCGCCGCAGTACAGCGCCGTGTCGCCGCTGCCCGGCCGGCAGGGTCCCGCCAACCGCTCGCCCGGCAGGGAGCGGCTCGACTCCAGTACGTGTGGCGCCGTGGTCGGCCTGCGCCGCTCTGTCGAGGGATCCCCGGGCCGGAGGGCGGCGGGGGCGGCCGGACCACCTGCGGCGCGGCGGGACGGCCGCCGGGGCACGTCCGGCCTGGGCTCGGTCTGCAGTTCGACCGCGCCGCTCCGGCGCAGCCCGTCCGTCGCTGGGCGCGCCGCTCGGCGCTTGCTCGGATGCCGTATTTGCCGCGGCTTGCGGGTGTTGTCCAGACCGTGCGTCTGTGTAGAACCATTCGGGTATCCACACGTCCAGAGTAGACATGCAGTCCATGCTTACACATATCCTGGCCTATCCCATGTGTCACGTGCGCTGATGTTCCCCGGCCGTTCGCGACAGCTGCATGCTTCGTTCTTGTAACGGCTGCGGCTGGCTGGCGCAGCCGGCTCTTTCCACGAGGACCCCGAGTACGAGCCGATGGCCGACTTCAAGCCGATTGTGCCGCTGCCGGAGGAGGTGGAGGTGCGCACCGGCGAGGAGGGCGACACGCCGCTCTTCGCCGCCCGATGCAAGCTCTACCGCTTCACCGACGCCGAGTGGAAGGAGCGCGGCGTGGGCGAGCTGCGCGTGCTCTACCGACAGGATGACGGCCGCGTGCGGCTCGTCATGCGCCGCGATCAGGTGCGCGGCGGGAACGGGGGGTGGTGGTGGCGCCGCCGAGCGGGCGGCTCCTGGCCGAAGTGGGCGCTGTGGGAGCGCGGGAGAATGTCAGCTGCTGCTTGTACTCAGGTGGTGTCGGGGATCGGGGTCTTTGTTTTGAAAAGGTGCGGAAGAGGGCCAGTGGAGATCCGGCGTGAGGTGGAGCCTGCCGAGCGGATGCCAGTTTGGCGCCGAGGCATTGTAATTGTAAGCAGGGTGACTGTCTACCCCTGGTAATAGGCAGGACAGCTGCAGGCACCCAGGAGCTGCTGCAGCGCTGGGCGGGTGTGGAACGGCAGTGCTGTGGCCGCGCCAGCTGCTGTGGCCCTGCGCGCCTTGTGTGCCCGGGCCTGTCATGTCACACTGTCACACGGCTGGCCGGCGTGGTGCGCCCTGTGTGACCTCGGCATGCCCCCGCAGACGCACAAGGTGTGCGCCAACCACTTCCTGCAGCCGGGCATGCAGTTGAACGCAATGAAGGACCAGCCGCGGGCGGCCACCTGGGCGGCAAAGGACTTCGCTGGTGAGTGGCGGGTCCCGGTCTGCTGGCGCTCCGTCTGCTGCCTGTCCGCTGGTGACGTTCACCGATGAGTGGCCGTATGACGTCCCCTGGTGACGCGTGAGAGGTGGCCGCCGGCGTCGGAGTCCACCGGGATGGCACGTCGTAGCTCTGGCGGGGCTGGTGCAATCACCGGTCGGCTTCGCTGCACCGCCGGGCCCCTGCAGGACGCGCTTGTGGCGTGGGCCGCTCCGGCGGTGGCCGAGTGATTCTGGTAAGGTTCAGGTGGCTCCCGACGTCTTCAGGCTGAGGCTAGTCTCCGGGACGCACGGCGCCAAACCACTGCATTACATTTTGGCTCCGATTTTGTAGACGCGTGATGTCGCATCCGAGTAACCGTTTTGTGTGCGCCTGACGAGTGCTTGGCCAGCGCCACAACACAGAACATCAGCTGCGTCCCTTCCCATCACGCAGAAGCGTGACCTGCGCGGACGCTTCGCTGGGGCATGGGCGTGCGGCCATGCGCTCCGGTCCCACGGCCTAACCCTGTCGGCGCGCTGCCCGCAGATGAAGAGCTGAAGGACGAGCGGCTGTGCGCCCGCTTCAAGACGGAGGAGATCGCCGACGAGTTCCGAGCCGCCTTCGAGAAGGGCAAGCAGCTCGTCAGCTCCGGCTCCGGCGGGGTGCGGTGATGACATCTGCGGACGCAACTGCTGACCGGCGCGGCGACTGACTGGCGCAGCGACTGACTGGCGCAGGGGCTGATTGGCGCAGCGACTGACTGGCGCAGCGACTGGCGCAGGGGCTGATTGGCGCAGCGACTGGCGCAGGGGCTGATTGGCGCAGCGACTGACTGACGCAGCGACTGATTGGCGCGGCGGCTGACCGGCGCAGCGGCTGACTGACGCGGCGCCTGATTGGCGCAGCGACTGACTGACGCAGCGACTGATTGGCGCAGCGGCTGACTGGCGCGGCTACTGATTGGCGCAGCGGCTGACCGGCGCAGCGGCTGGCGCAGCGACTGGTGCAGGAACTGGCTGGCCCAGCGACTGACTGACGTTTAGCGGCTGTCGCCTCGCCGGAGTAGTGTCACCATCTGACTCGCCTCCGACGGTGATGATGAGTTAGGCTGTAGGGCGTGCCAATGCAATGGTCAGAATATGACTTTAATGGTCATATGCCGCACATGACGCGCCTCCGATATCGTGTCATGTTTATTAGGCACGGGTCGTTTGTGGGGATCTTTTCTGAGTGGTGGGAAAGACCGCTTGCCGCATTGTAGGAATAGGCGGGCTGCTCCATTAGTTATGGGATGACTGCACTCCTCGTGGAGCAGATTAGGTTGACACAACGTCGTTTTTATGTTATATCAAGTTCACCGTCATAGCCCGAGCGCCCCTGCTCAGTGCGATGAAGAGAACTGGCCCACAGTTGTGGTTTATTGGGTTCCGCGAGATGTTCATGTCTGGCCCCGAATGACTTGACTGGATCCCCTTGGATGGCTCTTTTGACGCCGTTTCAGCGCGCGACATCCACGCTGTCCAGCCGAGCCGCGTCTGCCAAGCCCGCTGCCGCCAAGCCTGCTGATGCCAAGACGTCGGCGTCGAGCATCCACACCGCGGCGGCTACGGAGGCGGGGAGCGCCATACCAACGGTGGTGGCCGCCGCGGGGCGAGGCGCCGAAGACGAGGCCGAGGATGACGACGACGAGTACGAGACAGAGGAGGAGACCACCACCAGCGAGGACGACGATGACGAGGAGCCGTCACGGATCGCCTGCAAGCCCGAATTCAACTTCGCCTCGTCCGGCGACGGCAGTGGCGCCGCCTTCTCGTTCGGCTTCGGCGCGTCGCCGGCGGCATCCACGTCCTCCGCCGCCTCCACTGCAGCCTCCACCGCCGCCGGGTTCAAGTTCGGTGACAAGGTGCCGCCAGCCGCCACCGCCGCCACCTTCCAGTTCGGGTTCGGGAAGGCGGTAGCTGCACCTCCCAGCACCACCGCCGGCTTCACGTTCGGCTCGCCGAAGCTGGCGACGGAGGCGGCAACGCCGGACGCCGGCAGCGGCTTCAAGTTCGGCCAGAGCTCAGGCTCCACCGCCAAGACCAGTCTGGGCGGCTTCAGCTTCACGGCCACGCCCAGCGTGAAGGAGCCGGAACCTGAGCCAGAGGCGGCCGCCGCGGCGGCGGCGGCGGCCCCGCCCAAGCCCAGTCCGTTCGCGGGCTTCACCTTCGGCACGCCGGCTTCCGCGGGCGAGGCCAAGCCACTGTTCTCCTCCGACAACGCCGCGTCCTTCGCAACCGTCGCCGCTCAGCCGGGGTCCGGCTTCAAGAAGGATGACTCATTTAAAGGTGAGCGCGGAGTATTTGCGTGAGTGAGAGCGAAGTGCGTCCGGCGCCGCTTCAGAGATGTCCGCTTTGGTACTGCGCTGTCGTGGGGAGGGTATGAGTGCACTTCTCGTGGTCCGCCAGAACCCTTGTCAAACGGTTCGTGGAGGAAGCTGCTGACCACGCACGACTTCAGCGTTGTGTTCCTTTCCTCGAGCTGAAGCGCCAGAGTGTCGTTCCCTCGGGCTGAAGCGCCAGAGTGTCGTTCCCTCGAGCTGAAGCGCCAGAGTGTCGTTCTCTCGGGCGGAAGCGCCTGAGTGTCGTTCGCTCGAGCTGAAGCGCCAGAGTGTCGTTCCCTCGGGCGGAAGCGCCTGAGTGTCGTTCGCTCAAGCTGAAGCACCGGACGTGTCGTTCGCGCGCCGCTCTGCGCGCATGGTCGTCTGAGCGACGTGGTGCGAATGCCGCTGCAGGGTTCACCGGCTTCGGGGCGCCCGTGTTCGGCGCCAGTCCGTCCGCGGCTGCGGCGGCGACGGCGACGGATGGCGCGGACACGTCGGTCGAGGAGTACGAGCCGAGCGTGCACTTCGAGCCGGTGGTGCCGCTGCCAGAGCTGGTGGAGACGCGCACCGGTGGGTCGCAGTGCACGCTGCTGTGGTGGGCGAGCGGGATGGTGAGGGGTGTGCTGGAGGCGGTTGGCGTACTTGTGCCATTGTGCGGTATTGAGAATGGAGGGAATCAGGTGGCTGGGGGAGGAGGCGAAACGAGACTGCGCTATACGCGGGGCACATATGCGCTGGGCTTTGCGGTAGAAAATGGATGTTTGGAATCGGTAAGTAGTATTGGACTTCCTTAAAAAGCAAGAGGCCATTTTCAGACTGGGAAAGATTCGGGAACGCGTTTTGCAACAACGTGTTATCAGTAAGTTATTCACGTTATTCTGTGATTTCCGTGGCGAGAATGGCAGCCGCATGGATTGTTTGTAATTGCCGTGCTGCTGTTTGTTTTGCGTCGCCTATTGCGTCCTGTCTGGAGTCGACATCCGCGTGGCGGGGTCGCTCAGGCCGTGTCTGGCCCGGCAGGCGAGGAGTCCGAGGAGAAACTGTTCGGCTGTCGCGCCAAGCTGTACCGCATGGACCGCGACCTCAAGGAGTGGAAGGAGCGCGGCGTGGGCGAGATCAAGATCCTGAAGAACGCCGACACGGGCAAGTGTCGCGTGCTCATGCGTCGCGAGCAGGTGGGTGCTGTCCGCATGGTGACGCGCTCACCGTCGACGGGCGATGCTGGGGTGCGCTCGGCGACAGCGGGCTGGCGCCACCCTGCCGCCGTCTCCAGGCTGGAACTGTGTGTTGTCTGTCAGCGGCGCATGTGCGTCCTGACCACTGTCGGACCTGCAAGGCGCCCTGCAATTGAAGTGATGCGCTTGGCTCTTGCCCCGGGATGTGCTGCTTAGACAGCCTTGTGTAGGCTAGCGGGTTGTGTGGAAACGAGTCTGTATGTGTCCCGGTTGTTGTGATGGCCGCACCGAGTATCATTTACATGCGCATCTCAGAATGTTCAGCTTTGCTGCACTGACCGCAGCCGTAGTACTGTGGGAAGGGCATTTTTACTCGTGTGCCTGTCGGGGTCATGGTCCCATCGGCGCCCTTCCGCGTGTTGTCTCTCAGCTGCTCATTGCCGTGTCAGTGATCCCAGTCATTGCCGCGTCGTCTCACCTCGTTACTGGCTCGGGGCCGCCCGTCCGCTTGGTGGACCTCGGAGTTGGGCAGAGACGCGCGAGTGGCGGCCGCTCGGAGACGACGTGGTCCGCGGGCCCGGCCGGGCCCCTCGCGGCCCCGCGGCCGCCGCTGACGACGCGCGCACCACTGACCCACACGGACAGGTGCTGAAGCTGTGCGCCAACCACGTCATCGCGCCGGAGATGACTCTGAGCCGGCTGTCGAGTTCGGAGACCGCCTGGCTGTGGTCGGCCAACGACTTCTCCGAGGGCGAGGCCAGCCAGGAGATGCTGGCCGCCAGGTTCAAAACCGTCGAGCAGGTACGGCGCCGGCCGCCGCCGCCGTGATGACACCGTCGCGCGTACTCGCCCGATGAAGGTGTGGTCGATGGGCGTCTAAGGACGTTGGAAGAGCCTTTGACGATCAGCAATGTGTGCGATTTTCATGAGCATGTCGTGCTGTTGGAGGAAGTGTTGGTGTGCCACGGAAAGGATGCAGTGGAGATATTGCGTGTTCTTACCGATACGTTGGTATTTAATGTGCCCTGTTATGACTTTGTGGCATGTTACGTGCCTGCCTCGGCTGATTCGCTGATGTTGCCGTTCTGCCGCAGGCTGACGCCTTCCGAGAGGTGTTCGAGTCGTGCCGGCAAGGCGCGCCCGTCAGCCGCCTCGTGCAGACACCGCAGACGGCGAAGGCCAAGCAGGCGCCAGGCGACCAGACACCGACCCAGGCCACCAAGTCGTCCGACGGCAAGACATCATCCCAGCTTTTCAAGCCTGCCGACGCCAAAACACCGGCACAGACTGAGAGACTCGCCAGCGCCAAGACACCGGCGCAGGCCGCCAAGCCCGCTGTCGCTACGCCCTCGGCGATCGGCACCGCCTCGGGGTGAGGACGTCGGAACCGCCAGCTCTGTTTGCCGTAGGGGTCAGTTGGGTACGTCCTCAGCATGAGTTGAGCGTCCGCTTACTATCCTTCCCCTGGGAAGTAGCGCCAGTCGTGGCGTGATGCATGGTGTTCATTCATATCGAGGGAAAGCGCCGGCCGGCGTCCGGTGTGATCGCGGTGTGACACCAGCTCTTATGCATAAGCCTCCCGCCGCCCGCCGTGCCGCTGTGTGACTCCAGCGCCGCGCGCAGCTCGTCGAAGCCGGCGTCGGCGTCGTTCGTGTTCGGCGCCGACTCGCCGGCGGCCGGGCCGGGCCAGTTCCACTTCAGCGGCGTCAAGCCCAAGTCGCCGACCAAGCCGCGCTCCCGCGACGTCTCGCTCAACGAGTCGGCCGCCGGCGACGACAACGAGTACTACGAGGGCGACGAGGGCGAACACCTGCTATTTGAGCCGGTCATCCCGCTGCCGGACAAGGTGGGTGCTGGCGGGGACGACTGGTCAGCGGCGAGCCGAGGCACCGCGGTCGCCGCCGCCGCCGCCGCCGGTGCATTTTGTCGCTGCGCGCGCGGCATGCGTGCGTGCGTGCGTGCGTGCGTGCGTGCGTGCGTGCGTGCGTGCGTGCGTGCGTGCGTGCGTGCGTGCGTGCGTGCGTGCGTGCGTGTGTGTGTGTGTGTGTGTGTGTGTGTGTGTGTGTGTGTGTGTGTGTGGGCGCGCGCGCGCGCGTGCGTGCGTATGGATGTGAGTGTGTGTGTGTGTGCGTGTACGTGTGTTTGAATCGTTTTGTCCCGGCCTCTAGCGCAGTTACCCAACCACGCCGCTGTCGACTGCTGGCCTTTGTAACGCTGGACCGGACGCCTAATGCGGCGGGCCCGAGCCGGTAGCTTGTCTTTCCTCGGCTGGGCGGCCGCTGGGCGTCTGCTCCGGACCAAACGATCGCAGCTCCTCCTGGTGACAGCCGGCGGCGTCCGTCCGTGGGCATCACACCACGCTCCGCGCGCCCCTACGGTCGACTGACGGCTGGTCGCGAATTGTGTGTGTGGGTGCCGATACTGGCTCGACCGCATCGCTCAGCCGGTACTCGTTCGCGTGTTGATGTTCGACCGCTGCCAGAATCTGCGGTTCCGATTGTGACCCCGGTGCAGCGGTTGTGCCCCTGCCGACCGCGGATCTTGCCCCTTCGGCGTGCCCCGCGTGGCCAAGAGCGCCCCCAGCCGGGCCGTGCGCTGTCCGCGTCTCCATGGGTCCGGCCCAGCGTTGCCCGTCACTGTTGGCGGTCGCGGGTGGCAGGTGTGGCTCCCACGCGCGTCCCCAGCTGGTCAGCGCCGTCCGCCTGTTGTCGCCAGGTGGAGGTGAAGACGGGCGAGGAGGACGAAGAGGTGTTGTACTCGCACCGCTGCAAGCTGTACCGGTTCGAAAAGGAGACCGGCGAGTGGAAGGAGCGTGGCCTGGGTGACATCAAACTGCTGGAGCACAGGCAGACCAAGAAGATCAGGTGCGCGCCCCCTGGACAGTGGAACCGCCGGAGCGAACGGAGCTAGCCTTCGATGCACGGCGTGTGCTGGAAGTCCCTTGGAATTATTGTTTGAGTGCAGGCAGCATGGCGTAGACCCGCTCCGACTCGCGAGCTTGTGTGTCGTAAGCCTCACTCAGAGACGCCCGGCGTTTGGCTAGACGTGCGAATGAGTGTTACGCCTGTTGTGGTATGACCTGGTAGGCCCGATCAGGACCTGAGCGTGACCTGATCAGGTGTGGCGGGACGCGTCCTGTGACCAGATTAGTTGTGTGTCGCCCTCTGCCGTGACCTGATAAAATGTGGCGTATCGCTCCCTGCCTTGGCTTGGTCAGGTGTGGCGTGACGCGTCTCGTGGCGCTGATCAGATGTGGCGTGACGCGTCCCGTGACGTGATCAGATGTGGCGTGACGCGTCCCGTAACCTGATAGGGCGTGGCGTGACGCGTCCCGTGACCTGATAAGATGTGGCGGGACGCGTCCCGTGACCTGGTCAAGTGTGGCGGGACGCGTCCTGCGACCAGATTAGTTATCTGTCACCCTCTGCCGTGACCTGATAAAATGTGGCGTATCGCTCCCTGCCTCGGCCTGATCAGGCGTGGCGATTAGGTGCCTGATGAGGTGTGGCGTGTGACGCCCCGCCATGACCCAGCCTGACCTGTTCGTCGTCAGGCTACTGATGCGGCGCGAGCAGGTGCTCAAGATATGCCTGAACCACCGGCTGACGGCGGAGCTGGAGTTCAGCATGAAGGACGACAAGTCCGTGGTGTGGGCGTGCACCGACTATGCCGAGGCCGAGCCGCGCGACGAGGTGCTAACTGCCCGCTTCAAGACGCCGCAGGTGGCGGCCGACTTCGTCGCCGCAGTGCAGAAGGCCCAGGTGAGACGCGGTGGCACGTGCCGAGCACGGCGTCCATCGCATGGGGAGGCACTTCGCCCGGCATGTCCGCTGGCGACTCGGGACATCGTGCATATTCGGGCGTGTGCATGTGTGGGTTCCCCGAATCGATCGATAGGAAACGGATGGTGTCCACTGTTGGCTTCGCTCAGGATACCAGTTGCTGGTAACACCGCGTGCCTCGCTGGCAGCCATGCGGGCTATCGCTGTCGTCGGTGAGTATCACTGAGGTGTCCAGTGACGTGTGACGTTACGAATAATCAGATGTGGTCCTTTGACGGGACGTTTAACCTGTTTGTTGTTTGGCGTCGTGATATCACGCCGGTGGCCGCGCTGCCCGTGGAACGCGTCTCAGGACGTGGGCTCGTTCGAGCACAACCCCACCGCTGCTGGCCTTATGTCTCGCCAGGCACGGCTGAACGCCTCGCCCTCCAAGCTGGCCTCTCCACCGGTGGCTCAGTCCAGCGTGCCCGCCGCCCCGGCTTCGGAGCCCCCTGGCTCCAGCGGCGCCGGCGGCGGTTCTGGCGGCCCCGGCCAGGCGACCAGCATCTTCGGCGGCGGCGGCGGCGGTGGCTCGGTGGGCGCCTCGCCCAGCTCCGGCTTCTCGTTCGGCAGCCGGTTCGGCTCGGCGCCGACCCCGGAGAAGGACGGTCCGAGCGCCAGCTTCACCTTCCGCCTGAGCTCGGCCGGCGCTAACACGGCCGCCCCGGCCCAGGACTCGGGTGAGCACCGACGACCGCCCCGGCCCGGGACCCGGGTGAGCACTGACACGGCCGCCTCGGCCCGGGACCCGGGTGAGCACTGACACGACCGCCCCGGCCCGGGACCCGGGTTAACACTGACACGACCGCCCCGGCCCGGGACTCGGGTGAGCATTGACACGGCCGCCTCGGCCCGGGACCCGGGTGAGCACTAACACGGCCGTCCCGTCCCGGGACCCGGGTGAGCACCGACTCGCCAGACACTGCCGACGGCAGTGAAGGCTTGCACTAGTATGTGTGAAGGGGAGAGCGTTTTACCTCGGTGAATGGCTTGTTCTGGTGTTTGGCGAGATGGAACTGCCGTTACTTCTGTCACAAATATTTGTGCTGGAGGCCGGAGGGGGATTCCCTTGTGTATGACGTCCGAGAAATGAATTGGAAAATATCCTGCACGTTTGACGTCGTTTATGGCCGTTACACCATAAGCGTGCATTATGAGCATGCATCAAGTTACACTGCCCGAGTTCGGTATCATTTTATTTCACAGAGATGCGTATATTCGGGATTGCTTTACATGGGTCGCTTCCGTACAAATAATATGCTCACACGTACAGGAAGCATTTGTGGTGTCTTGCCGCCTCCCCTCTTCCTGGACTCAGATGAGGTGTAAACCGTGGTCTCAGTGCCCGTCCCCACGAGCCCGTGGCGAGGAACCGACTGGCTTGTGGCTCCTTTCTCGCCGGACTCTGCTGGCGTGTGGGCTGCGATTGCTGACTGTATCGATGCTGGCAGACCCTGACGAGGTGCAGATCGTGGGCGAGATCCAGCCGACGGCCGAGCAGCGGGCGGCGGCGGCGCGGCTCCAGCTGCCCGCCGGCTTCTTCTTGTACGAGCAGCGGCCGCCGTGTCCCGGCTGCCGTGGCTGTCGCGACCAGATGCCCGGCGAACAGGTCAGCCGCCGACCTGACCTGACCTGACCAGACCAGATCAGAACGACCGATCCCGTAAAATCCAGATCTTCCCACCCAATCTAGTGCTCTGTCCGGCCCGATTGTGTAGGCTGACTCCAAGACTGTCGCCGACCGACTCCTGGGTCGCCATGGGATGGTCGCCGATCGGAGTGTTCGATAGACTGTTCTGGTGACAGGATCGGCTGGCCACGACCAGATCTTGTGTCGCCGCCGATGGGATGGCGAGGGTTCGGGTAGCTGTCGGGGTGTCAGGATCGGACTGGTCTCGACCGACTTGTGTCGCCAGTGGGATGGCGGAGGGTTCGGATAGCTGTCGGGATCTCAGAATCGGACTGGTCTCGACCGACTTGTGGTGTCGCCAGTGGGATGGCGGAGGGTTCGGATAGCTGTCGGGATGTCAGGATCGGGCTGGTCTCGACCGACTTGTGTCGCCAGTGGGATGGCGGAGGGTTCGGATAACTGTCGGGATCTCAGAATCGGACTGGTCTCGACCGACTTGTGTAGTGTAGTCATGAGGCGTTTACGTGCGCTTAATTGACGCATTTGGCCGTTAGATCACGATAATGTCTGCAGTAGGTGACAGTGCGTGTTCACATGTGGATCATGCTTTTGTTTGATGCTGCTTAGTGTTGATGCTGTTGTTCAAAACAAGCACTATAAAACGCAGTGATATTTTCTGTAACGATTTACACGTGCTTGCGTGTGTAGTTGATGTGCATTGATTTATTTTTACTTGTTACTACATGTGTTGAGATGTGACGTCTGGACGATATCAAACGGAATGTCGTAGCTCTGGACGCGTGCGAGCGGCGTGCCAGGAGCGGCGCTGCTGAGGCCTCGCCGTGCGTTACAGAGCGCTGCCGGCGACACGAGACCTGATGACGCCGATCGGTCGGCCGCGAAGACCGCGGCCGGCTCCAGTACCCCGGCCAGCTCCAGCGTCCCAGCAAGCTCCAGCGCCGGCACCAGCTCTCCCTTCCAGTTCAGCTCGTTTGCTTTCGGCAGTGATCAGACGAAGGCCGGCCAGGCGACGGGCAAGGCCACGTTCGGATTCGGTTCCTCTTCGGCCGCCTCGTCCCCGTTCAGCTTTTCGACCGGCACCGCCAAAGCCGGCTCTGGCGTCATTGCATCGGTTAGCGGTGGCGAAACCAGCTCAATCTTTGGAGGATTGAAGAGCGACAATAAGACCAGCAATATTTTTGGCGGATCGGGGGCCGAAATTAAGACCAACATCTTTGGGGGATCGGGGTCTGCGGCCAATTCTGTCTCTATCTTTAGTGGATCCGGAACCGAAAATAAGGTAGGATCCATCTTCGGAGGAACGGGAGCTGATAGCAAAGGAAGTCCTTTCGCTGTAGCAACCGGAACAGGCCCCAAGACTGGCTCCATCTTTGGGACAGCGGGGACGGACAGCAAGACCGGCTCCATCTTCGGGGCAGCGGGGCTGACAGCAAGACCGGCTCCATCTTTGGGGAACGGGGACTGACAGCAAGACCGGCTCCATCTTTGGGGGAACGGGGACGGACAGCAAAACCGGCTCCATCTTTGGGGGAACTGGGACGGACAGCAAGACCGGCACCATCTTTGGGGGGACGGGTACGGACAGCAAGACCGGCTCCATCTTTGGGACAGCTGGGGCGGACAGCAAAGTCGGCTCCATCTTCGGAACCGTGGGGACTGAAGGCAAGTCCGGCTCCATCTTCGGCGGAACGGGCAACGCCACCGGCACTGCAAGCACACCCAGCTCTGTCTTCGGAGGCTTGTCCGCCAGCAAGGTGACATTCGCCACCGAGGGCTCGAGCGCATCGGGGCAGGACACGAACGGCGTGCGCGCGGAGCAGCCGGCGGCCGGCGCCGCCGACCAGCCCACGTTCGGCTTCGCCCTTCAGAGCAGCGGGCCGGCGGTCGACTTCGCCTCGTTCGCCCAGAGCGGAGAGACGTTCGCCAAGAAAGGTGAGACTCGCGGCAGCTACGACGGGTGGGTGGGTGCGTGGGCGTCACTGGGCGTCATTCTGCCTGCTTTGGTTGTGCATACTTCTCTGTTCTTTCCACGGTAACGTTGTGAGGTATTATTATTTTGATCACAGCTTAACCTTTCAACGACTCTCGCCGTCAACGCTTTCACTATTTGGCACGTGGGCTTCATAAGTAGCGGTTATCGTAATTGGCTACGTGCATCTGCCCAGTGTTTCCCACCAGCAGCGTGACGCTGGGTGCGTCAGCGACCGGCTGACGGCAGCTCTGGTTGGTCCTCCAACCGGCTGACGGCAGCTCTGATTGGTCCTCCGTGCGGCCGACGGCAGCACTGATTGGTCCTCCCGTCGTCTGACGGCAGCAATGATTGGCCCTCCGACCGGCTGACGGTAGCACTGATTGGTCCTCCTTCCGGCAGCCGACCCGTCGTTCCAGTTCTCCGGCGCCGGCTCGACGCTGTTCGGCGCTCGACCGGCGGCGGCTGCCGACACCGGCTCCGACGACGAGGCCGCCGCAGACGACTCGGCGCACGACCCGCAGTTCGAGCCGGTGGTGCCGCTGCCCGAGCTGGTGGACGTGCGCACGGGCGAGGAGGGCGAGCAGAAGCGTGAGTGCCGGGCCGGGGACGGATTGTACTGGGTAGGGAGTGCGGGTAGAGGCGTGAGTGGCGCGCTGGGGACGGATGGTGCTGAGTGGGGAGGGCGGGCAGAGGCATGAGTGCCAGGCTGGGGATGGATGGTGCCACGTGAGGAGGGTGGGCAGAGGCGTGAGTGCTGGGCCGGGGATTGATGGTGCTAAGTGAGGAGGGCGGGCAGAGGCGTCAGTGCCAGGCTGGGGACTGACGGTGCTGAGTGGGAACGGTGGGCAGAGTGCCAGGCGTGAGTGCCAGATTGGAGCCGGACGGTGCTGTGTGGGGAGGGCGGGCAGACAGACGGACCCGCGCTGACGCGTCTGGCTCCGGCTGTTGTGCACCAAAGACCGATGGCGCTGGCTGCAGCGTGGGTCGACCGGCTGTGACCGGAGCCGTGATTGCAGTGTTCAGCCACCGCGCCATTCTGTACCGGTTCAACAACGCCACGGCCGAGTGGAAGGAGCGGGGTCGAGGTGACTTCAAGCTGCTCCACAACCCCGACACCGGCTCATACCGGCTGCTGCTGCGGCGGGAACAGGTGCGTCGCGGCCCGCTGGGGGCATGTATACATGCGTATTGCATTTGCATGTCTACTTGTCTAAATGTGTGTGCATGTTTCCCTCATTCGATTGTTCTTTCACTTCGCGTTTTGTTTTCACCATTGGTCGGAATAGCCGCTTGCGCAGTGTGGACCGCCCTAATACACGTCGAAAGGCGGTGTGGATCTCACTAGACCCGGGCCGGCCGCTACCGACCTCCTCCCACTCAACTGGCTCACCGTCTGGCTGTCGTCCCCGGCTCTGCTGCGATGTGCTCCGCCCGCATTTCCGTTCCGGCTCCCTGTGCGTTCCGACCCTTGTGGTCCGCCGCCGCCCAGGCTCCACGCCGGCTCGGCTCCCGGGCCGCAGTGTTCTCTGACTCCGGGCCGCCCCTGCGGCGCCCGGTCGGTTCTCGGCCGCCCCTGCGCCGCCCGGTCGGCTCTCGGCCGCCCCTGCTCCGCTCGGTCGGTTCTCGGCCGCCCCCTGCGCCGCCCAGGCGCCTCTCAGCCGTTCCCCGCGCCGCTCGGTCGGTTCTCTGCCTCTGCCCGCCCCGCCCGGTCAGCCCCGCCCCCTCAGCAGACACGCCCGCGGCTCGAATGACCGTCGCCACGGCCCCGGCAGGTGCACAAGCTAGCCTGCAACCACCGCGTGACGACGGAGATGGCGCTCAGCCGCTTGGGCTCGAGCACCAGCGCCTGGGTGTGGTCGGCCGTCGACTATGCCGACGAGGAGCCGCGGCCCGAGACGCTAGCCGTCAAATTCAAGGTGGGCGGCGCCAGCCGGACAGCGGACCCGGCCCGCGCAGACTGGCACGCTCGGCGGTGACACCCCGCACACGCCTCCGTGTGTGTAGTTGATAGCGTCTGCGAGAATAAGCTGCCTGCCTTCAGTATATATTTTTCTTTTTTTCTTTTAACGATATTATCCGAACTTTTTTGAATGGATGGACTTATGGGATCAGGGCTCACGCTAAGCAGTGCTTGTTGTGTGAGCCTTGACTCCTGCCATGCGATCGCTCAGTTCCAGCTCAGTGGCAGACTTTGGTGGCTAAAGCTTAACTAGCCGCAAGGCTCGGCATGGTCCTGCCCTCCGGCGTCATCTGACCTGTGTGGCGGCCACTGCCACCGGCCGCCGACCATACCCGTCAAGAGCAAATCGCGAGTGTATGAAGCGACTCGAACTCACCCCGCCACGGGCGGGCGAATCTCGAGGCAGGCGCTCTAACCAACTGAGCTATCGGGACGGACATCGGGATAAGGTGTAAATCAAATCACTATCGTCTTCACGTCATCGTGAGACGCGTTTACACAGAATCGCTTGAATCGAATCGGACCCGCCTGATCAGACCAGGTAAGTTCGTCGGACCAGGCCGCACTGGTCAGATTACATCGGGCGGGTAGAATATGGCGGGTCTGCGTCGAAATCACCCGGCATCAGCCAGATCCAAAACAACGCCGGCGTCGGCTGGCGTCGAGTCGGCGGATGCCCGGCCCGGGCGGGGTCGTCCCCGGCGGCGCCGGCCGGTCGTCCCGCGGCCTGGGGGCGCCGACACTCACGGCTGCTCCCGTGTCCGCAGACCGAGGCGCTGGCCGACCAGTTCAAGCAGGCCTTTGATGCGGTGCTGGAGAAGCTGAAGGACGGTGAGACGGCTGCGACGGCGGCGGCTGAGGAGGAGGAGGAGGAGGAGGAAGAGGACGACGACAGCCCGATGTTTGAGAAGCGGGCGACACTGCACGTCGTCAGCGGAGCGGACAAGAAGGTATGTGCTGGGAGCAGTCTCTGCCACGGGCTTGTATGGTCTATCACTCGCGGTCAGTCATCGGCTCAAGCTTCCTTGTGTCTCAATTTCATATAACAGACATTGAGAAGTAAAAGCCGTTTGAAAGCGTTCCAGCCGTGAGATTTTCCTTCAAGCCCGCAGCTAGTTTGTCCGGTCAGGATATGTGTAGTACCAGCTGACCGTGAACTTTGTACTTGTGTCGTCCTGTTTTTCATGTTCGAGGTAAGAAAAAACCAATGCTTTTCATAGGCAGCACACGCCATTTTATCTCATCAGTGAAGACCACAACACGGATTATGACTCGAGGACGCGCTGCATTAATTGGCTGACCGAAGCGGATTAACGCTAAAGTGTTCTAGGCTTTGTTGTCGCTGTACTGTGATCCAGCGCTGAATTGTTTTGAAAGTGCGAATGGCTGTGTGCACTCATTTGGAATGGGTGGTGGGTGGGTTTGGGCACAACCCCTCAGGTAGCCGGTAGATCGGGTCAAGGTCATCCTACAGGTGAAGGCTGGGTGACCTCGCCGTCGCGTGCCCCGTTCTTACCGAGCTGTGACCTCAGGCCCTTAACCGCCGCCCTCTGGCGGCAGACCCTGGGCACGGGTGACCTGCGCGTGGTGTACGACGACGAGGTGTTCGGCGTCAAGGTGGTGATGACGGAGGACAAGACGGGCGTGCTGCTCTGTGACAGCTTCATCACCATGCAGCACACCTACCAGGCAAGAATCGGACCTGTCCTGCCTCATGTCGTCCGCAGACAACCCCATGCACCAGCCGGTCACCTCAGTCAGCTCGTTGCGTGCCTCCCTTTCGATTTTCTGGGCGCAAAATGACCATTGCAGTCGATGCGCCCGAAAACACCAATAAACAACAAATATAAACAACTCCCTTTCGATTCGTGACAGAGCCGCAAGCCAACGCTGACGCACGCTGGCGCGAGACTGCGTGCCGCGTGGCGCCACTGCTCAGTCTGACCTGACTCCCCCCCCCCCTCCCCCTCCCCCAGTTGGAGGACAAGATGGTGACGTGGACGGCGCGGGACTACGCGCTGGAGCCGGTGGCGCGGCGCACTGTTTGCGCCCAGTTCGCCTCGGCGGCCGCCGCCCGTGACCTCGCCAGGGTCATGGACGAGGGCGTCGAGATCGCGACCTCGTCTGACATTAGCGAGGCGCTGACGCTGGAGGCCGGCGAGCCGCAGGGCAGCGGAGGTGAGCCTACTCGAGGCGGGAGACGCGGGTCGGAGGTGGGAGGCGGGGGGGGTTCGGGGGGGCGGCGGGAGACGGGGTCAGAGGGGAAGGCGGGGTGGTGGTGGGAGGTGGGGTCAGAGGGGAGGGTGGGGTGGTGGTGGGAGGTGGGGTCAGAGGGGAAGGTGGGGTGGTGGTGGGAGACAGGGTCAGAGGGGAAGGTGGGGTGGTGGTGGGAGATGGAGTCAGAGGTGGGAGACGGGGTCAGATGGAGAAGACTGGATCAGAAGGGGAGGCAGAGTCAGAAGGGTAGACGGGGTCAGAAGAGTAGACGGGGTCAGAAGAGGGACAGGGTCAACGGTGGGAGATGGCGTCAGGGGTTGAAGGTAGGATCAGAGGGGAGACGCGGTCAGAGGTGGAAGACGGGGTCCGAGGTTGGAGATTGGGTCAGAGGGGAGACGCGGTCAGAGGTGGAAGACGGGGTCCGAGGCTGGAGATTGGGTCAGAGGAGAGACGCGGTCAGAGGTGGAAGACGGGGTCCGAGGTTGGAGATTGGGTCAGAGGGGAGACGGTCTGGAAGACGGGGTCCGAGGCTGGAGATTGGGTCAGAGGAGAGACGCGGTCAGAGGTGGAAGACGGGGTCCGAGGCTGGAGATTGGGTCAGAGGGGAGACGGGATCAGCGGTGGATGACGGTGTCCGAGGCTGGAGATTGGGTCAGAGGGGAGGCGGGATCAGCGGTGGATGACGGGGCCCGAGGTTGGAGATTGGGTCAGAGGGGAGACGGGATCAGCGGTGGAAGACGGGGTCAGGAGTGTGAGGTGAGTTGGGGAAGGGGTGTGGGATGTGACCGCGAGTGAGGTGCGTGATCAGGCGTGGGCATGTGATCTTACCAGTAGTGATGGGCATGAGGAATGATATGGCTCTGTGGAAGCGAGAAACATAGTCGTGAGTCGCAGAGTATGCCGCCGCCACAGCGCCTGCAATGGAACCCGGTGGCCCGCAGACCAGCCGAGGCGAGCCAGTCTTTGGAAAGAGCCGTGACACGACTCGGCAGTAATGCTCATGTCCACACGTTCAGGCGTCCCTCATGCTGGGTAGCACCTGCTGGTATGGTATCGCGGGCTCAATGTTCGGGGCGTACTGCACTTGTGGGTCGTTTCATTTCGTCAAGAACCGAGCTGGGGCAAACTGCAACACAGTGTGCGGCGGTCAGCCCTCTCCAATGAAGGCCAGGTTCGGTGCTGCAATATTGGCCGACGCTTATGAACTGTCGTCTGTGCGGAGCTTGTGACGGAGGGAGAGACGGGGAGCCGTGACTGCAGGGGATTGCTTGGTCGGGTCGCGTGTGTTCCGGACATATGTCCGTGTCGAGCGTCTGTCTGTGGCTGTATTCTGGCGGTCGTTGGTGTGGGCTGACTCGCCGCACGTGTCGGACAGTGGCCGCGGTGTCGGCGCCACCTGTCGGCGCGTGCGATCCTCTGCTGGCCCGCGCGCTGGCCGACCTCCTGTCGGAGGGCGTCGCCCACCCGCCGGCAGGTGCGGCCAACAACTCGCACCCGCTGGGCATGGGTGGCGCCTTGTCCGTCTCATTAGCGGGAAGTGGTGTGTGGGAACGGAATCGTGTCCACGCCTGGGTGTCCTTTGTCCGTGAAGTGCAGAGCTTACAACTCACGGTTGTTGACACTCTGCGATTGCCTCAGACACCCACCCGTCCCGTCCTGTGGCCGTCTGTTTTGAGGCAGATGGCACATGGTGTGCTCTTTTACGGGGCTGTGACAGATAGTGTACTCTCTGTTGCCAGGCTGTGGTTGACACAGATGGTGTGCCCTCTGTGACGAGGCTGTGGATGACGCAGATGGTGTGCGCTGTTACGAGGCTGTGGCTGACACAGATAGTGTGCTCTCTATTACCAGGCTGTGGTTGACACAGATGGTGTGCCCTCTGTGACGAGGCTGTGGCTGACGCGATGGTGTGCTCTGTTACTAGGCTGTGACTGGCACAGATAGTGTGCTCTCTGTTACCAGGCTGTGGCTGACGCACATGGTGTGCTCTCTTGCGGGGCTGTGACTGAACAGATAGTGTACTCTGTGTTACCGGGCTGTGGCTGACGCGATGGTGTGCTTTCTGTTTCAGATGAAGACTAGCCGACCTGTCACCTGGCGACGCCCGCACGCTGTACACGGCCATGTGAGCAGGTCCGCGCTCGTTTCACCCTCATGTAAACGTTTTGAAGTGATTTTATGACGTCTCGACGTGCCTGTGTTTCGGCTTTGTTCAGTGGTGAATAAATACATGATAACCGATTAAACCTGCTTTGGAACGGGGCTCATCCTGTGATGATCGCAGCGCGCGACGCAGTGCGGCCCGTCACCAGTCAGGTTATTTGCGGAGAAGAAGACACTCAAGGAATGCGATGTTGCTCCACTCTCTGTTTGGTCTGCGTCATGTGTATCAGCGCCAGACGGTGCGACCAAGAAATGCCGTCGTGCGGGTGTGTGCATGAGCGCACTTGCAGGTTGGAAATTTGTTTTTTTACTGGTTTCGTATGCATAATGATTGCAGTTTCTGTTCGTGTCGTAATTCGCGTTGAGCACATCTAAACGAGGTCAACTGCGCGTGTGGACGGCGCGTTTAGCACGTGGCCCCCAGTCTGTTGGCTCAATTTAGAGCAGAGGCTGCGAACGTGACGGCCCGTGGCCGCGCCCAAAAAAGCCACGCATGGGTTGCAAACATGTTACACAAAGCACGGTATGGACAGCGATAAGATCATGGCCGCGTTGTCCGAATGGAACGGAGCGTTGGCTAACTTCGTTGGCACGTCGGATGTCCGATGTGATTGAAGAAAAAACTGACACAGTTTGGCATTGTGCATAACCCTTTCACAAGCGGTAAAGCTTTGCTCCCGCCACCAGCACGCATCATTTGCAACAGGGTGAACAGGCGCATGGTGCTGGCACGCCGCTGCTGATGTTGGCCGCACCGATCTGTGACGTCATCGGTCGCCGAAGGTCTGTGGCGCGGGATAGGTCGGTGTTGGTCTCAGGCGTCAGACGTCCGCGCAGTTCGCACGGGAATTGTTGCAGCGCGGGGGGCTCGCCCGCCGCTGGTGGAGACCTCCGCCGACGGAGCTGCCAGATCTGCGGCCGTCAGGTCAGTCGGGTCGCCACGCCTCTGCTTTTAATTCGATCTCAACGCTTTTAGATTCATTCGCCAATAATCAATGCGTGTTAGCGATGATGGATAGTAAACGTGCAGTTAAAGTTTGCCTGAAACGTAGGGCATTAGGGTAAACCGACACCGCCGTAACACTCCATAGTGCGGGAAGTGCTGCGTAGTGGGCGCTCCCCACGGCGATACGTGATGTACTGTTGACAAATATGACGGAGTGGGGGACAAGCTCGCAGTCGATTCGAGACCTTTGGCTCGTTCGACTCAAGCGCCGCAATTTTAAATTAGCAACCAATTCGAGACATTCGGCACATTCGATGCATCTGCGCACATAGTTGGCATTAAATGTGACATATTCGGTACATTCGACAAAATGCGCATGATTAGCAGCCCACCTGATGCATTCGACGTCTTTGATACATTCTCCGCGTGAAGTTCCCAGTCGATTTAAACACATCACACAAGATACACCAACGTAGGAAATATCTGTGTTCATGCAAATATTTGTTCAATGGATGTATTAGGCGCAGTATTTCACGCAGAAGCTTTGTAAGTACCTGCGACTGAGCTACGCGCACAATTGTTGGTGGCATCCGCACACGCTACGGTGACCAATCGAGATATTGATAAATAGAATACCGCGAGGTTATCTTCACTCATTGGCACGAAGTCTGAAGAACGTTTGAATTCCGTTCACGAGTCGTGCACTGCGAAAGTACGCATACAGCTTCTCTGTCCTCTCCGAGAGTTTTTGTGTTGCCTTTTTTGGGGGGGCTGACTACATCTGAACTAAAGATTTCGTCAGGATGCAAAGGGGTTTGGAGTTGTGCTTTTCAACGGTCGCTGAAAGCAAGCACGTTATACTGCTCGCTTAGCAGACCATCCAATGTAGTAATTTGCTCATGCGAGGCAGCACAGAAATGCTACACTGGACCCCCCCCCCCCCCCTGATACCTCATCTTGACAGTTGTTTGTAACGCTAAATATTTTTCATACCGTCCTGAACATGCGTCTAAAATGTAGTGCAGTTACTTCCAGTTAAACGTTTTGAACAAAGCAGACTGAAACGCGGATAAGACTACTGTTGGCCTTATTCCCCGTAAAATGGCCAGCAGAAAAGAGAGTCCTTACTGCTGATATTCGTTTCGAAAAAGGCATGTAGCCGAAATATCAATACATCAATTTCCCCTTTCTCCTGGTTGTTGCGAATATTAAGGCTGACGGTACTGTCTTATCTACATGCATAATGTTCCTCGAAAACGCATTTAGAATCCCACAGATTAAGATATTGTCACCACAGATGCGTTGTTCATCAGGGAGGCGGGTACTGCACAAAAGCTCTGGTAATAGCTCCTCGCACGAAGTTCAAATGGATGCAGCGTATACGAGCGTTGCACCAGTAAAACCTCTGGCTTGCCTCCGATACAGCGAAAGTAAACTGTCGAGAACAAACCGCCCGATCAGCACCGCCTCGTGGTCGGCAGCAGGGCAGCGCGGCTGCAGGTATAACTGGGACTGCGCTCTGGCCGAGGCGGGATAATGTGGCAGCTGAGTCATCGCCCCTCACTGACCGAGGACTCCAGCCTGGCTACCTGAGGAGCAGCATCGGATATCGTGCACCTATCATCATTGATGCACTTTTTAACCGAAGTTATCCTGTGCATGCAGTAACTGTCACGTTGTCCAGGCTATCCGGCTATTTGATGGTCCCTTTCCTCCTCGGACTGTCCTAGCGTACATGCAGCCTGCGTGTCTTTTCATATAGCAGACGCTTTTCGTCACCTAATGGCGCGCATTGATACCGCCAATTCCAGCATTTGTGGTCTGGGGCTACGGGAGCTGGTGATGCTTCACCAGCCGGCACCACTGCCGCGACCCGTATGGCCTACTCCTCCAGGGGCGGATCCAGGATTTCGTCAAGGGAGGGGCCACGCTTCCCTGTGATGTCCTCCGAAACTTTGTGCCCCTCCCATTCCCCCCAAAAAGTCCTAGGACTCCGGCCACTTTATTTTCAGAGTCTTGTGATTTAGTCCTGAAACCTCAATCCTCTGCACATCGTGGTGCGCTGAGCAGTGAAGTTCAGAACACGTGTGCAGAGCGCACATTCAGTTGTCTTTCCCTGGATTGGTGGGCGCCATCATTCTGAGCTAAGGATTTCGAAGAAGATGCGACAAAACGAGTTAAAAGTGGCGCTTAAACACCATCGAAATCATGTACGACGCCACGACCTAGATTATTACGAGTCGGAACTTACGTAGGATGAAATCAGCAGAGAGCTGCATTGTATTTTTACGTCGCTGACCATGCAGTGAATGGTTAAAAGCGAAAAGAGAACCTTGTAGCGTGTATTTTAAATCGTATGACTTGAGTTACATCGCACGACGCGAATGTTAAAATGTCTGTATGATGCATATAGCATTGTGCATGTACATAATCATGCATATATGTATACATATATATGTATATATATATATATATATGTTTGATTAAAAATAAATGCTGACTCAGCATTGACGAGTTTTTTAAGCATCGTTCTAGTCTCCGGGTCTTTGGCTTGGCGTCATCGATTAGACTTAGATTAGATTACCGCATCTTGAACGACGACAAGAAGTTCCGGCGCATCACAAAACATCCAACAGACAAACTCAAGACCAAGCTTGACAAACTAATCACTGCTGCTAATGCCGCTGTTGATGGCATAAACTTTTCCAAGATAACGGGTGAATTTGCGCCTGGTTATGCTTATGGGTCTGTGAAAACTCACTAAAACGGCAACTCCCTTCGTCCAATAATTTCACAGATCCCTTCACCAACCGATAGAATTGCAAAACGTCTTAATGGTCTTCTGTCCCCATATCTTACCATGCCTTACAGCTTGTCATCAACGGATGAGTTTATTGATATAGTGCGATCTCGTCAACCTAAGGGCCTACTAGCCTCTCTAGATGTTGAAAATCTATTTACAAACGTGCCCATTGAAAGAACCATATCCATCATCCTTGACCGCATCTACAATCATCCTGAAATTCCTCCTCTCAAAATATCAAGGCGCCTTCCTGAACAATTACTAAAAGCCTGTACGTTGGAAGTTCTTTCCCGCGGGCCTGATGGCCGAATGTATGGCCAAATTGAGGGTGTTGCGATGGGCTCACCTCTAGGACCTCTATTCGCTAATTTCTTTATGGGACACGTAGAAGCCAACATACTACAAAATGACGGCATAAGGCCGGACATTTACTGCCGCTACGTAGACGATATCTTTGTGGAAGTTGGGACATTGACAAACTAGGACATCTCAAAATCACCTTTGAAGAACGGTCTGGCTTAAAATTCACAACAGAGCTAAGTGTGCAAAACGTAATACCCTTTCTTGACGTGGCTGTCGATGGACAAGGACAACAATTCAAAACGACTGTGTACCGAAAACAGACAAACAATGGACGGTGCTTAAATACTGACAGTGAGTGTCCTCGACGCTACAAGATTAGCGTCATAAGGTCTTTCTTTAGACGAGCATTTAAGCACTGCTCTTTTTGGACAGGACTACATTCAGAATTGATAAGAATCAGACAGATCTTGGTGAACAACGGTTTTTTCCAATTCTGACGTTGAAAACGAGACACAACGACATATGACACATGACATATGATGGCAAACCAAGGCAAGACATCCAACCAAACGTCAAACTGTATTATCAAAATCAAATGACATCTGTCCACAAACAAGACGAAAAAGCTTTACGGGAAATTATCTCTCGACATGTTAAAGGCAAAAACGACCACAAAATAGACATCGTCATTTACTATTGTAATAAGAAAATGTCTAGCTTTTTTGTGAAAAACAGCCCAGAACAAACCCGACAAACTAAAATATACCAATGCAGTGTATCAATTTCAATGCAACATCGAAGGCTGCAAACTTCGTTTCATACACTACATTGGTGTGACCACAATGACACTCTCACGACGCCTGACAGTGCACTTACGTGACGGGGCACCCCTGGACCACATGCGACAGGAACACGACATGACATTGACACGACAACAACTGACAGGCAGCATTGACATTTTACGGACGTGCAGTGACAGAAGACGCCTTCAAATTTGGGAAAGCATATTAATTAATGAACTCTCTCCGGCC